AAACTTTCACCGGTAAGGAGAAACATGGTCCCCGCCTGGAAGATTGGATTCGGGATGTAAGATTCCTTCTCGAGTCTAAAGGCACTACCCCAGGAGCCCTCCAATTTCACGAGGTGGTACGGCACACCGGAGGAAGAGCGAGGGACGTCCTACTCAATCTGGAAAGTAGGACCCCCAATGGCGTAGACGCAGAGGTGGCTTTCGCCGAGCTCCTTGAGGAGTACGGAGAGGATAAGAATGCCCTGTCTTCCGTGGCAAAATTCTACGCCAGGGTGCAGCGAGGGAACGAGACTCCAATGGAGTACGCGATTGCATTGGAATCCACACTGAGGGAGGTCGAGAAGGCAAGGCGACGCCGTGGACAGAAGTCAACTGAGGAGGAGAGCCGTGACAGAATGTTGTCGACACAGTTCATGGTTGGTTTGAAAAATCTGCGATACAAACAGAGGTTGGCGCCAATGCAGCCCAGGTTCATGGCCTTCCGGGATGTGCGCCGGGAATTGCACATCATCGATGAGGAGGAGAGACAGGCAGCGGAGATAAGACGACAGCAGACATCCTTGTTTTCGATGAACGAGGTTGCTCAAAGCTTGGCCCAAGTAAAAGCCAGTAGTAAAGATGTAGAGAAGACAGCCCAACCTGTGAAGCAGGACATCCCGGTCCAACCCCTGCCAAGCAACTCCAACCCACCCCTTCTCCAGCAAATGTTGACGCAGCAATTGGATGAGATGAAATCGATGTGTCGTGAGCAGATGCAGACACTAGGCCAGGTTCTGAGCGAGCAGCGGCACCAAGGACAGCGACTAGGGCAGCTTGAAGCGGCAGTATTTCAGCCAAGACACGATTGAAGAACCTTGCAATGGAAGCGCGGCCCTCCTGTGTTACCTTCCACCAACCTGTTGAGGTTCAAGTCATGCCATCAGGGACAGCAGCCCATGTATCATGGATAAGTAAACTCTAATACGTTCCAGCAACTAGAATCCTTGCATGCCATGGTGTCTGAAGATGGCAAAACAAAGCAGGTTTTGCCCTGATCATGTCAAACAAGAAGAAACGAGATTAAAGGCAGGCTTATGGTATTAACGGCATGCATCCCTGACGACATCAAGGTATGAGAGTTCATGTTAGATTTTGAGGCTGGTCCACTGCTGACTGATCGTGCAAGACCTCTCCTGCACTTCCTAAGAATATTCTTGATTAACTTATGAGGATTTCCTACCAGGCAATTTTCTACAGAAAGACATTGTGAGGGGCAAAGTCTGGCAAACAACGGCACAGATCTACTGATGGCTTGAGATTAACAACTGGAGTTGCTGTCTGTGGTTAAACAGTGGTACACTGATGGAACATTCAAGGTAGTAAAAGCACCGTTCAAGGAACTAGTGTCCTTTCATGCCTTTGTGTCCAAAGGTGGGGAAACAAAACTGGTTCCAGTTGCCTTCGCCCTCATATCAAGCAAGAACAAAAGAGCTTATGAGGCAGTATTCATGACATGTTTGTAAAAAATGAAAGGCGTTTAAAGATCGATGTTGTTTTTTTCTGGAAAGGTAAAGCACAGTTCACAAGAGAGGCGGGAACGATTTGTGCGTAATACGAAACGAGAGTCCCTCAAGGAGCTACTAAAAAAAAAAAACCAAGGAGGGAATATCTTGACAGCCTCAATCGTTTGACCGACAGAGAATTTCAATCAGGATGCCGGGACAATGCTCCAAATAAAGACGTCTTACGGAAAATAAGTAGCGAGGCAAAAACTTGTACAGAGTCAGATAAGAATGAAGTGCAAAGCGTCATAGATATGTACTTAAAGCAGACTGATAATAACAAGAAAATTGGTGGCATCATTCGATTCTTTTCGGTTTGCCCACCTTCTATCATGCTTTTTTCCGAAGATAGCCTTAAAATCTATCACTATATTTGTCAAAAGGATGTGATTTATTTTGATGCAACTGGCTCTATAATGCAGAATAATACAAAGCTAGCCGGCGGAAAAAAATATCAATTGTACGACTTGGTAATTCGTCACCCTCTTAAGGGATCTCCTCCTCTTGTCCTCACATCATTACTAACCAACAGCCACAATGCAAGCACAATTTGTAATTTTTTGTATTCTTTTTTGCAATCCGAGAAAAGCCTATACGGACACAACAATGTCCAAAATCCCGTCATGATAATGATTGACGGAAGTGCCACACTTTTACTTTCTGTTCTGAACATTGTCACCCGCGAGACAGTGCAACAATATTTACAGAGATGTTTTAGAGTAGCTAACGGACAAGCGGACAGCGACGACTTAAACAAAACAATAGTACACTGTTGCGGCAGCCATTTCATGAAAAATGCTGCCAACATCTGCCAGAAACATTACAGGAAAAATGTCAAAGATTGGATGTACTGGCTCGGGCTTCTATTGAAATGCACCGATCTAAAGGAAGCAGAGGAGATCATAGAATCACTGACAGTACTAACCTGCTCAAATATAACAACCAATTTTGTCAGGATGCACTTCCAAAGGTTGAAGTGCAAAGTTGAGCAAACTCACGAAAACCTTTGTGACATTGTGCATGAGAATGAACTAGACGATTTTGAGAGAAACGACGAACAACAAGTAAAAGAAAATGAGGAAAACACTGACATCACTCAAACAGACTACATTCTAACAGCGCCAAATTCTCCGTTCAAGCAGCAGTTTGAGCGGGTCATTAGGAAGGCCTTGCTTAAGGTACAGGAACATAACAAACTTATTCCAGACGTCACAAAGCACAGCCAAAATGCTTACTTTTGCAAAGCATTTTTGAATCACCTCATAGAATTTGTGTTGCCCCACATACCGCTTTGGTCTGGTATTATGTCTAGGGATTTAGGAAGACATGGCACTTCTGAAAAATACCAAACATACACATCCAAGTACGAATTGTTGAAAAAATATAAATTCCGGAATATAACGTCGGACACAAGAACACAAGGTACTGTTGAAAAAAGTATGCAAGAAGTACAGAGAGTTAAATTGTTATATGGGAGATGCAGAAGACTCGACGAATTTGTGTTGAAAAATGAACAGGATCTCTTACCATTGCACAGAGAATTTGCCGAAGCCTTCTGCAAAAACAGGAAACGAGCGCACACAAAATCCACAAAATTAACGCAAGAAAAATGGTGTAAGAACAAGTACGCCCAACAATCAAGGTGTGTATTTGACAGTGCCTCCAAAGAAACTACAGTTCAAGAAAAAATATCAAAACATCCACTAAAACAAAACGAATGAACAAAATCGTCTTTCATGCGAACGATGCAAACACATCTGCCCATGTAAAGGTACATCCCACAAAGCCACGAGATTCTAACACTGCTGTTTCAGCACTAGGAAGAGGAATTTCAAATAATGGAGTCTCGTGTTGGTGGATATCGTGCGTTCAAGCCCTACTACCTTTCCTAGATCAGAAAAAAATAAATGTTCAAAAATTTCAAGGGAGTGACAATTTTTGTGGCGAAAAATTTGGGGAACTCTTTGAAACACTGACATTGAGGACAAACAAACCAGTGTCCTTTCATTCAGTTCAGGATATAATAGAGGAAAGTGCCATGAGAATGAACGCTAATTCCAATCCGCAACAAGATGCAGTCGAGTTCTACACCAAATTGATTGAACCCTTCTTATCAAATCTTCGACTTGATATGACCGTGGACTTGCTGGAAGAGAATAAACTGGAAGCAAAGGATCTGACCAAGGCCGGGTACTCTGCATAATATCGAGTTTTGTGAACAGCTCAAAAATGAACACAAGGTCAAAGTAGCAGTCCTTGGAGAGCCATCGGAAGAAGAACATTCAAGATTGCCGATAGCAGCCAAGCATTCAAGAGCTAGACAAGCAGGGGAAATATTAGAAATCAGAGAAAAAAAGAGAGGCAGCAGCAGAAGCTATTTTGAAGGACACAGAAAAGATGTAGAAACTGAAGCGGGGCCAACTAATTTATCATCAGAATCTTTTTGCTTTTTTTTTTTGGCTTTTCTACTGTGTTATTATTGTGCACTTATAGACTGTTAAGCTAGTTTTTAAATTTCACATGTACTTTATTTTCTTTAACTTCATGAATTTTTTGATTGATTTTTTCACATTGTTTTTCTTTATATTGCCCTTGGTTTCGGTTTTGCCATCAGAGGGATTGGTTGTGGCATTTTGGTCAGGCTAGGGAGAAGGTTGTCCTTGTTTTCTGTTCTGTCTTGGGGTGTTCCACTTGTGGTTTAGGCTTTTAAATTTCTTTTGTGGTTTGTTTTCAATTTTTTGTAACAACAGAGTCCCATGTTTCTATTTGAAGAAAGCATACACAGTCAATATGTTTCATTTGCAGCAAACTAAGAAGAGGAAAATGAAAAAAATCACAGTTTCTATATGAAAACCCAACCAGATTTGATATAAACACATTACCGCACTAGTTTTGGTCACAAACTTTTGGGTTAACATTTACATACTACATGCCCATGTTGATGGACCTCAGTACCATTGAATTCAACGCTGCTGGAATTTATTCCAATTACATCAATAAGCCATTTGCGAGTTGAATTTGAATAAAATCTGGAACACTGGCTTAATCCAATGCTTTGCATGTGTTAACTTTGCATTCTCCTATAAACCAAAGAGACTCTTAATGTATCACTTGATTCTGGGCAAGTCTTCATGCTAGCAACCCCCAGCTCTGGTACGGTCTGTGCTGTCTGTGCCATTCTCATCCACTGTGAACGATGTATTGGTGCTGAGCGTCTCTTACGTATAATGCAAGAGTTTGCCGCAAATCATGTGATTAGCAACAGTGTCTTTGGTCTGGAGAATTCAAACTTAAATTGTGTCAAGCATTCTGAGCAAGTCAGTGTACCAGACGTTTTTCAAATTTAAATCCCAAAGGGTGTAGGTCACTTGCAAATGAGTTAGTCATGCGATTCACTTCAGAATCAACTCCAAAATTACCCATCCATAACACTGCAAGAAAAAAACAGGTTTGGGGGGTAGGTTGGGGAAAGGGTGTTTAGCTGCCGAGAGGGAGGTTCAGCAGGCATGTGCTATTTTTGTTGCGGTTTGCCTTTTTTGCAGCTCCCCCTCCCGAGAGGGGGGGGGGGGGGAGGGGTGTTTAGACTGTTGCTTAGTTTGTTCATTAATACAAGTATGTATGAGGTGTAATAATAGTACATTATCCTGACAGAGTAAGAGTTAAGCGTAGACTACACAAACCATATGTAAACCATCGGTGATTTGCAGTTGGCATGGACACGAGATGATGATTGACCTGGCTTGACTTGGCTCTTGACTCCTTTCAAAATTTGGTCTGCTCGCATATGTGGTTAAAATTCCTGGAAAACAACAATAAAAAGTACACTTTTTTTTTAAGAAAGACGTGATGTATGAAAAAAAAACACTAAATAATGAACAAAAAAACACTTGGTAAGCATACAAGTTGGCAAATGACATCAAATGGACATAAAATTACAAGCGACTATTATTCACAAAGCTTGGAACTTTTCAGCATCATTTGGAACTCATTTTGGGACTACCCAATTTATGAAAGGAACACACCATCTTCCAAATTTGGAGCATTCCATTCTTGTTATAAAGCAAGCCATATATGTGAGGCGTTGGAGAAAATGAAAAAAAAAATTGGGGATTTTTCTTTTCTTTACATCTTTATTGATATTTGTAATCATTGATACGTCTACTAAACATACCTTAAAGAAATAGTATAAAAAAATGTGGAATAAAAGTGTCTAAGTAAAAATAATTCACATCTTTCATGTTCACGAATATAAAATTTGAAACTTTAAAGGCCTTTTACTTGCAGTATTTTACTTTTTCGACATGCCGATAAATGCTAACTTTACACAGCCATCAACAGAATGTCAGAACGCCTCAAATATTTCAAGGTTATTGGACAGTGCAAAACAAGAAGCGTTCTGTACAATGCTGTGGCATGCAACTTACTTTGCATGTTGAAGCTTGTTGGCTTGCGTCCGGCACTTACTTCCCCAGTGGCAGTCAGGCCTTGAGGCAATTTGACCTGGAATTGAGACATGAAACAGCGGTCAACATGGTGTAATGCGAACAACATGAAATCATCCAATCAAAGCAGATGCAATCCAAACCTCATTCCCAACGATCCCAGAAATTGTTCGTAATACGCGATCATTCGGTATAGCGATTGTTAGCTGCTGGTGTTCAGGTACTGACTTTTCAATAAATAGCGCCCTTCAGAACTTCACCCTGCACGCCCTGGTACTGAAAGATGACTTGAACACGTGCCGACTATTGAATTATGTAATTACACAGTCTTTGAGCTTACTACTGTACCTACAGCAATGGGTGGCTTTCCCCTTCTATTCCTTGCCACTTGCCACTCTTTTGTAAACGTTTTTCAAAAACAATGTTTGGTACGTTTTGTGCACAAAAATCGGGAGCCAAGCACGATGTTCGGTATAGCCGAATGTTCGGTATAGCGGTGTTCAGTGTTGCGACGTTCCACTGTACGTGCTGATGATTAACTAAAATAAGACCCATCAATAGGCAATGCCAAGTTGAGTGTATTCTTAAATTTCAACCTGTTCATTTTTATTTCTGTGAAGCGCCTCGAGCGTCAATTTTGACGGATTTGGCGCTATACAAGAATGAGATATTATTATTATTTTATTATTATGCCCAATGCGCGCATGTGGGCAACACACGTACACCTTTCCAATGCCATACTGCATGGTCCAGCAGCACGCGTCAGACGCATGTTGGGCATTAATCATGGCTGTGATTGGTCAAAGCATTGCAGGGTGAAGCTTATTGTATCGGGTCTGATGTCATCAACACTTGACTGGAATCTCTTCATCATTATTATTAAACTTATTTGCCATGGTTAGTCAGCGCCACAGTATCTAACACAGTTGATATCAGTTCATGTGCCCAACATTCACACTAAAAGCTGTGATGGGATTAAGCTTAACCATCCTAAGGTTCGTCCAAAGCCTAGCAAGGCATACGGTGATCGTGCTTTTACCCTATGGAACAGACTTCCAGCATATTTAAGAAACAATAACGAAGTGGGAATTTTTAAATCACAGCTTAAACATTTCTTTTTAAAAGGCATTATTTTTTTAACTACAACTTTTTCTAAACTAACTGGTTAAATTTTTATGTAGTTTTGATATTTTGTAAAGCGTTTTGAGATTTTTATGTAAAACGCTATATTAAGAATAAATTATTATATTATTATTATTATTCAACTTACGAGGCAGATCGGATTTTGGAATGTCCCTGCGGTACTGGTAAGCAAGTTCCTGGAAGTTCTTCAAGCCGCAGTGATAGCACAGAACGTTGGCCGAGGAGATTCTATTTATAGCTCCATCTGAGGAAATAACACGTGCACAATATTTAGGGTCTCGTAACTGGATTCTGTTGCTAACGCATGTGAAAAAAAAACTGTCTGTAGAAACAATTTCTAAAACCAGCTTTAACCCTAACACCTTGAGTGATTTTTTTTTTACTAGGAACCTTCCTCACTCTTGCAAAATCCAACACCATATGGTAAACTCTACACCCAAACTGTTGGACGCTGGTTATGGTGGTATGCCTAACCCCTAAAGCATAATCAGTTGACTAGTGCAGTACTCACTCCAACAGATTCCAACAAAACACACAGTTGGATTTTGAAGGGGTGGGGTGGTTATTGGGTTAAAGATTGTTTTCTTCCTTATGATACCATTTCAGGCGCACAATGGAATTATTTCACAACGTATTTGGTACCAGTCCTATCTTCACTTTGAGCAAGGACTTTCTCATAAAATGGGTAGGTTTCCAGGTACATGTATGTATATTATGTAGTTGCCTTCACCCTTTGTTATTGCTTTTATGACACTGGGAATTGATCATTTTTAAATATCCCTCTTTTTTTTTTATTGAGAACACACATTTTTTCAAATGTGAACACCAGGTTTTCCCAACGCAGGATGCAAGTTCTTGTCCAATTTGTAGGGAACATGCCATTCTGATACTGTTTTCTCACATGATGTTTTTTTCAGATGATGTGCTTTTTTGCTGACAAGATCAAGTTATTGGTTGACCAATTTACACTAACCAACTTATTCTGAATTTTGTCCAAGCCTGTAATGCAATACATGTATCTTCAATATGAAAGTCACATCCAAATCTGTGTTCATGTTACATAATATTATGTGCGTTTTGATATAGCATACTACATCAAATCCACAGCCAAAACCATCAATGCTGTCTTACCTTGGCAGACGTATTCCCCAGAATCTAACTTGACCATGCAGGAATCTAATACATCTTTCCAGGTAAGGTCCTTCCTTTTAAGGTAATCCTAAGTAAAAACAAACAAACAAGAAGTTAAACGATAGCAAAAAAATATATAATATTAAGGGCCCATCTCAATTCATATCCAGGACAGATTCAGACAACTTCTGGACATTGTATCGGGTTTAAGTTGCAGGATTCTCAACAATTTCCCCGCAATCTTCCTGCAATGAAGTTATCAGTATTGAAAAGTCAAGCAGCTGCAAATGACAATTTCCCTGGAACATGTTCGGGACAAATGCAGAGCTTCTTCCAGACAAAGTGAATGATTCTATCCACAACTTGTCCAGAACTCGTCCCTGATATGAATTGAGACAAGCGATTCCAGCGTTATGTAATCTCTAAGATATTACATACTAGGAGTTTTGGATAATTTCTCTGAATCTTTAACTAGATATCACGGTTACTTGGCTCCATTACAGAGATTACATTTACATTACAATTAATAACCCTGAAATTGCCCAATAAATAAAACTACTGTGTAATAGTACCGTCTTTGCGTTTCTCTTCATCAGAATTATATTTCCGAATCTAATTTGTCAGGTGTGTGTCCTTCTCAGAAGAAGTGGTTAAGTCAACATTTCAAACAGTTTGCTGCGTGTGTTGTCAAGATTTAAATCAAAAGCTGTGTCCTCTGTGAGTGATCTCTGTTTGCTATTTCCTGGTGTTGCAGCATTGTTAATGTTGCTAGCATCATGACTTTGGGCATGATCCCTGGCTACATGACATTACATGACATATGGGTTTATAGCTTCTGTCCAGCCCCCTCCCCACCCCCAACAACACAATGCTGGATGGCTCAGTAGGTAGAACACCAAAACGTCAATCCAGAGGCTGCAGGTTCAAACCCCGCTCTAATCAACTTCGTTGTGCAACTTTAAAAAATCACTTTAACATGAACAAAGAACTTTACTACCATGGAATTTGAAATTGGGAACACAGATCTTTGGAATGTTAGTGAAATTTGTCAATTATCTAAGCTTGTTTCTGTGAATGGAGAAAGTACAGGGCAGCCGTACTCCAATTTCCTGGTCACAGCTTTGTATTCTTACCTTTAATATTTCTGATTCGTAGGTATTTTTGAGAATGAGATTATCCAGGCACTTCTTTCCAAAATGCAAATCTGAAAGAAAAGAATAAAGTAAAAGTGAACAACACCACAATTTTGGTGCTTTTTTCCAAAACTTATTTCTTATTTGCGTTTAGCCTGCTGTGTCAATAAACGTCAAGTGTAACTGTCACTCCTACCCTGAAATTCATTCAGGCATCCGTTACAGTCTATCTTCTTACAGCCCCAGTAACGATGACAGAAGAAGTTCCCACAAACATCACCTGAAATGAAATGGCGGGAAAAAAGACGTGTCTAGTAAAGCTTAAATTTGAACAAATCCTAAAAAACATGACCGCAAAACAATGTTAAAATTTGTAAAGAAATAACAAATTGATGTCACATTTGTTAAAGAGGTTATGGAATGCTCGAAGACATTTCTGTCATTTTTCGGGTATATGTAGCCTATTATGAAATAAAAACGACTATTGTGTCTGTCATGAAATGAGTACAAAAGGTACTTTTGAGAGCTGTTTTTTAGGTCCTGTTTCGACCTGAAAGTGCAATTTGTGTAAAAGTCGTCGTTGGGGGCACCAAACAAAACATGGTAAATCGTGACGTAATAAACAGGACTCCTGATGCAGCGTAGAATACATGAGTCCTGTTTATTACGTCACAATTTTTCTCATTTTACGAAGAACCCGACGACTCTTGATTTCAATTATGCGCTCGCCGACCAACAAATTACTCGATGAATTTCAGTTTTATAAACATATAAACGCACATTACAAAAGAATGGGACTTTGGGGTCACGGGCCCACTTACACTTCTGCGACGGTACGCCGTACGGATTGTTAAAGTACTCGTGTCGTCTGTCTGGCATTTGCAAATGGCAACACCCACACATGAGATGATTGCTGCCTTGTTGACACTGAAACTGTGGCACCTTTGGCATCGGTATGTACTCCCCGTTAATGGTTCGCTTGTAGCCTCTGCAGTTGATGGCCCATGCAGGGGTAGAAGGCTGGGCTGTTGCGCCGGTGCTTGTGGCCGTAGATGTAGATGCTTGATCCGTTGTTGCTGTGTTGGAGCTTGTGGACGTAGAATGAGATGCTTGATTTGTCGTTGCTGCGCCTGTTTGGGGTTGTGTTGCTGAAATGGCTGTGCATGGCGCATCTGAAATAAAAAAATGAAAAAATGAAAAATACAAAAAATAATAGATAACTTCAACACAAAAACCACCAAGCACTGTATATCATCAGGCTCCGCAACACAAACAGCAACATGCTATCAAGTTAAAGCAAACTTGGCCATACATTGACAACTCATTGAAAAGGATGCATAAAAAGAACAACTTCATACAGTTGAAATTGAACAACAAATTGCAACTGTGGAACCCTGAAATTCCATTGCGTGATATTGACGAGTATGGACATTTCCAAGGTACATGTATAGTTGTGTGTACATGTTGTATATTTCAGAGATGCCACAGGGTCTGCTTGAAAAAAACGGAACTGGGTCTGCTTGAAAAAAAACGGAACGGCTGCTTGAAAAAAAACGGAACGGCTGCTTGAAAAACCGAACTTTTTTGTGTGTGAAAAAGCCACTCCGTGTCCAACACAAAGTCCCCGTTGTCATCTTTATCTTGTAGCCAAGCCAAGTTCTGTTTATTTTTTAATTTTGCTTCTATGGCCTTTAAAGCTGTCGGTTCGTTCAATCACTTTGACTTTTTCCATATTCCTAATATTTATTCTGCCTACCCGAATTTCCAAGGTAATATTCGACACGAAACATGCACGATTCCACAACACTGCTGTCGGTGTACGTGATCCTTGTACTACGCGATGCGCTCAACGAAAACATGGTTGGTACCCGCATTTTTTTGTATACACATATTTCACTGCGATCTGAAACCACCAATAGCTGAAATGATTGACTTGATTTTTCAGGCTGAATGCTACGTGTGCTTAGCACACAACACGCCTGCACGCGGTGAAGCACGCGCGAGGCGCCGTTGTATACTGCGTGCAAGTACGTTGGCTGCTTGTATCGCATGCAGGCTCGGCAACAACATACACAAAGACTGTTTTTAAGACTACTTCAACGAACAACGTTGTGCCATGCGTGCGCCTAAATGTACTACATCGAGGTAAAAATCAACGCATTTCCACAGTTTTTCTTCTCTTTTTCTGGTTAATTTGACGGCCGGAAAAAACGGAATTTTGTGAGATTTTTTTTAAAAACCGGAATTCCGGTTAAAACCGGAAAAGTGGCATCTCTGTATGTATGTTCAATGATCTTTCCAGTATCCGTTATCATTTCCTGATTTTATGCATCTATTATTTTTTATGGTAAACGCCTTCTTGAGCCCAAATGGGTGCTTACGCCTTCTTGAGCCTAAATGGGTGCTTACGCCTTCTTGAGCCCAAATGGGTGCTTACGCCTTCTTGAGCTCAAATGGGTGCTTATGCCTTCTTGAGCTCTAATGGGTGCTTTCTTTCTGCAGTGCTTGTAGTGTGTACTCAAAACAAGTAGGGCTAAGCGTCAGGAACCGGTTCTAGATAATGGGATCGGGTACCCGTAACCAACTTTTCAAATTACTTCTTAGGCAATGAAATAGAAAGGTTTTGAAGTCATCTGTGGGAAATTTTCAAAATGTAAACCAGACACTTGTACCGGTATCTTGCTGTATTGATACGCTGATGTGGTAGTATTATCATGCGGAACTTTGTAAACAATCTCAACAGCAACTTCCAAGATTTGGCATGTTTGGCTTTGGGTTTCTTCAACAGGTACCCCGGTACCACTGATCTCTATATAAAGCTTGGATAGCTAATAAAGAGCCGCACAATGAATGAATTTGACGCCATATTGGTGAGACCGGCTGGTGATCTACAAAGGACAAGTTGCCGTCTTTATAGACAGCATGATTTCTTTTGTAACGTCGCGGTTCACTTGACTTATTTTGGCCACCACCACTGACCAACTGACCAAGGTTTACTACAATTTTTGTAACGTCCTGGTTACTTTTAAAATGCTGCAAATCACTTTTTCGGCGTTTTTTGAAATAATAATCACTACGGAAATGTCTCCCTTTTAGAACACCATAATATGTGTACGAGACCAAAATGCGCGTCAACTGTTGATACAATGCGCGCGTATTTACGCGTAGAACGTTCGTATTATACGCGGCCATCTTCGTGAGACCGGGGACGAATTGGTCAATATGCAAAGTCTACTGTGTGAATGTTGTATGCATATCCGCTATCCAGTCTTTATATAGAGATCAGTGCCCGGTACCCGTGTTTTGTTTTCAATCGGGTAACCAGTTCCTGTACTATCCGTAAGTGCACACCCCTAAAAACAAGTGTTTTCACATTTGACTTCATGTTCTGTGCTTGGATATGCAGGGGGCATCTTACTGTTAGTAGCTGCTGATGATGACGGTGGAATAGGAGGATGCATGGTGATGCCAGTGTCGAATCCAGGGCCAAAGTAGCCGGGACACTGCATACAAGCAGCTACTGGAGCTACTGGCCTCGGGAGGAATAAACCCTGCATGATATTGGGTCTGTGGGGAGAATAAACAAAGTAATAAGAACACAAACAGTCAGCAAATGCGTATTTTGTTAAAATGCTGTGTATTTTTTTTCACTATTAAATGTTTATTTCAATTCATGCAGACTGAAAGGTTTACGAGAGCAAGTTACACCTGCACTGGATTTTTTAAAAAGTAGCACTGGATGTGCTAATTCCATTTCACCCTCAACTTTCTTGGCATTTTGCCTCAAAATCATCCTAAATCCCACATGCCAATGCCAATGGCACCCAACCTCGTCCCCAGGGTGTCGAGCAATACGCGCCCACCACTACCTGCTCTCTCACCCTGGTATTGGATCATTTGCATGTGCAAGATTTTTGCACACGTATGCAAATGAGGAACAGTCTGGTGCCTGGATATGCGTTACACATTAGCGTTTGTTTTTGTATGCGGTGTCTTGGGTAAAAACAGAGTCAATTCGTAGCAGCGCGAGCATGGCGTGAGTTACGAAACACGATTTTTGAAATCAAACTGTTACAATCTTATCAAGACAACATGCAGTATCATATTTCATATTAATATGAGCAAATTGGAAAGGAAATTAGTATTTTCGAGAAGGCGTGGACGAATGATCGCGAAAATACGTACTGCACGTTGTGAATATATAGCACCAAGTACACGATAAAAATCCATTACTAGCCAATTGCGGTATCCAATCAGGATACAGGAAGAAAGTTTCCTATCCAGGGTTTACTATTGGAAACGCAGTTGGAAATAAAGTAATCACTGGGGACGAGGTTGAATGGCACCTTCTTTGCACGTACAATTTTCAAGGGGAACCAAGCCCCAAGTGAAGTAATGCCATCGTCGATTGTTATCCCGGCCCCCAGGACCCGGGGATAGCGGGGACTGGGATGTCATTTTGTGAAGAGTTACAAACCTGTTACAGTCCCGGTTTAATAAGTCCCTGCTGGACCGGGTACTTGTTTTTTGTACACCCCAGCCCAGGTTCCCCACCCCCTTGGGCCGGGCATCATGTCGTCGCGTCAGTGCAACAAGGTTGTAACTCCTTTCTTCAACAAAGTCGTATCTCGTGCAAATACGCTCCATGCAACATTAGGTCGTATCTCGACGTCCATTGACTTTGCGTGTACATCCCGGTTATTTTAAGCGAGATACGACCATTTGACATTCTAAAACTCCTGTTTTGCGTCGTTCGTGCCATTTTAGGAGATACAACCTTGTTGCACTGATGAGATGATGTAAGAATCCCTGCACACTACCAGGGCCCACGCCCGGCCCTGGAGTCTAGGCTCCTGTGTACGCTATTGCTCTCCAACTTGCATAAAAACAGCACGAGTATGTATCAATCCGATACTATAAAACCAGTTTACCAGTTGCCAAAACAAAAAAAAGACAGATTCAACAGATTTTATAAATGGGTTTTTAAAATAGTAACGGCCGGCACAAATTGTAAGTACGTCTCACAATTAAACTTCCGAGGTAGTACCCCCGTCCGTTCCCCAGCCCTTTTGGGATGCTGTACGGCCTGGTATATGGCCTGGCACAGTTGTGAGTACGTTCTAGGTACACTCCCGGGGTACATCCCTGTGTCTTTTCACAGCCCTTTTGACGCGCTGCACTGCGCCGCATAATCCCAGCGTGGTCCCCGTAGGGACAGGACACATTGAGCTGTTACATCCCCAGCCATATCCTGGCTAGTGTCCCGCTTTGCCTGGGTCCTCGGGGGTGGGGGGGGGGGGGGGGGGGCTACAACCGACAAGTGCATAATAATGGCTTGTGAATCCTAGGGAGCGTCTCATTAGTCGGTGCACTCAGAACGTTCTGTTGACGGACAAGTTCCCGGCATGAACTGCATGTTGACAGACATGTTCCCGGGCAGGAACGCTCTGCGTTCCATTGGCAACAGGCCATTGTTCCGTTGGAACGGCACAATCCCTTTGCGAGAACGATCCAGTGGAACGATTGGGACTACGCGTTCTATTACGCGTTCCAGTGGAACGTTCCCAGCATTGCTTGTAAATCCTAGCATGTCGTCAATGTAGCTCCAATGGAAATACCGGTAATATGGTGGTCACTTGCCTATTAGGAATATAGCCATATTCATTTTGATCTGAATTGTAGTCCTCTTCATCTTCATCATAATCATCATCACTATCTTCATTATCCTCATCATCGTCAAATCCGGCTTGATGTTTCCCAGACAGAACCTAATGTATCACAAAAGGCAGATAATATAATTTACCAAATGAGGTCAATTTGGAAGGTACAAACAAAAGTCAATGTACTTTCGCTCCATATTGAGCACTTGTACCCAAGCTAAACAAATGAACATTAAGTTGAAGCACAATATGGGTCGTTCCACCGGGTTGGGGAACAATGCGCGACATATGACCATATTAAGAAAAGCATGAACGCCTTGCTAGCAGTTGCTCTACATAATATTTGTTGTTGGGTGTTTCACGACTGTAGAAAGTTTGAAATGATTTCGATGTATTTTGCCAAAAATATGAGCAAAAAATGTCATTTTGGATGTAACATTGACACCGTCTCAGAGTTACGTCCAAATGTGACATTTGTACCTTTTTAAAAATTTCTGCGAAACATCACCCAATTCACTTTGCGTACTTCTTACTATACATGCAACACAATAAGAAAAGCTTTTATGACGGTAGTCAGGTATCAAATGGAGCAGAAATGATAGCTTGGTTGTGTGGATGTAACATTGACACAGTGTAAAACCCAATGTCACACTTCCATTGAGTGATTTTTACACCGTTACATCCACACGTGAGGTATTGTTTCTGCTATATTTGAACCCTGACTATACAAAAACAAAAGCTTTTCTTGGTGCTTAGGTGTCCAGTTGTAAATATGCAATGTCAGTTTGGGTAATATTTTACATACGTGTAAAAAATGGCAAAAAAAGGATATTTGGATGTAACATTGACAAGGTGTCAATGTTACATCCGAATTAATACATTTTTGCTCATATTTTTGTCAAAGTACTTTCAAATGATTTCAAACTTTCTCAAATATTGAAACACCCTTAGACAAATATTATGTTGAGCATTTGTTTAGAATGCATTGATACTTTTAATAGTATAACCAAATATATGGATGTAACATGCACTGCTTCCCAACCCGGTGGAATGACCCATATGCTAAATGAATTCACATAAACAAAAGCTGAAATCAGGAGAAATCCTCACAAAAAACTCTTAAATAAGCATGATAAGGGAAAAATCCTGATAAAAAATCCTGAAATGAGGAAAAATCCTGATAGAAAATCCTGAAATGAGACAAAAATCCTGACCAAAAATCCTAAAACCAGGAAAAATCATCACTAAAAAGTCCTGAAATGAGGAAAAATCCTGATGAAAAAAAATCTTAAAATCCGAAAAAATCCTCAAAAAAAAAATTCCTGAAATAAAAAATCCTGATAAGAAATCCTAAAATCAGGGAAAATCCTCCAAAAAAAAAGATTCCTGAAATGAGGAAAAATCCTGACAAAAATATCCTGAAATAAAGAACAATCCTGGTAAGAAATCCTAAAGTCAGGGAAAATCTTCAAAAACAAAATCTTGACAAATCTTGTATCTATTGTAGAGATGTGCAAGAAACATAACCAGCCAAGTATCGAAAAATAGCATAAAATAAAAAAAAAAACCATCAAGACTGGTTTACCATCATATCTCTGGTGATCTTGTTCTTGGCATCCATTTCAGCTTTCTCATCATCAGAACGTTTCCGATCTGCCAAAAAAAACAAAAAAAAACCAATTCATTTCTTAATATGCATGCAATAATCTACTGGCTCTGCCTCAACATATCGACAGAGATTGACAGAGGATTTTGCAGGATTGAGGCGGTGGTCACCCCTCCAAGGACCGTGTCCAAGAAATAACGGTGGATTTTTCAGGATTGAAGCTAAATGCTATTTTTACACGGAGGCAGTTGGAGCAATTTGCAGGATTGAGGTTACACACTAGCAAATATGCGTATTAAGCATTTAGGGTTAAAGGGAAAATACAACATTTGCAAACATCAAAAAATAAAACTACCAAATCATTTTGAAATACCATGCTGGACTGTTAGTGAATGACAGTGTAAAGCATCCTGTAAAATCATGGCACCTTGTATACTGTCATTTTCAAGAAAAGTGGTATTTTTGTATCAGTTTCCAACGCTGATCGGCCGATCAGCGTTGGAAAAAAACTGGCTTTTTTTCAAATACTGGCCCCAATTGACCATCGCACTTGTTTGTAATCTATTACAAACCTATGAACGGGTACGAGCCAGCTAGACTGGTTCCCTGACCTTACAATTCCCCAATGTATGTAAACTGCTCTGTTTCTTCTTATATGGAGTCAGGGAACCAGACTACAGAAAAATGATTGTTTTTCTTGGTTTTTATAGCATTTTCGAACCCAAAACCTAAAAAAAGTCAGTGTGACTATATTTGCTATATATTTCCAACCCCCCAATTCCATCCATTTCCAAAAATTACAGCAAAAGCAAATGATGTATATTCCCTTTAATTACGTCCTTATTTTGAATGCTAATAATAAAAATAATAACGTGCTTATATAGCACTTTATTTCAACGGTCTCAAAGCGCTTTACAATTATTACCCCTGTTCATCAGGCTATGAGACCAGTTATTGTAGCAACTCGAAATCTGCGCATTCTGGTCTGTGCCTTCACAGGTACCCATTTATACTCCTGGGTGGAAGGAGGCAATTGTCGTGAAGTGTCTTGCCCAAGAACACAAGCACCATGTTCCTCGTCAGGGTTCGAGCCCACGTACCACGCCATGTGAGTCGAACACCGTAACCATTAGACCACAGCGCTCCACAATATAGTACTTCAATGGATCTTCCTAATGGATCTTCCCCGTTCCCGCGATTCACATAGGGTATACTTCAACACTAGTCTGTAAATGTTCACCTTCGTAAAATTCCAAAAGCCGCAGACTTTGTCGAAACTTACCTGGGTGTTCCTTGACAAACGCATCTACTAGGCCGTTGACAATGAAGTTGCGACTGATTCTCTCTACTTTATTCCTACACTGTTGATGAAAAGTAAAATATGTCAACTTCAACTGAGCTTTCATTAAGGCCGAGCGTCCTTATTCAGTTACTGGGCGCGCCTCGGCCCGCCGCGGCCCTTTGCGGCGGTTTTTTTTTACCCTCCCGAGTTCTCAGTGAGCCCGGCGCAGTGCAGCGCAGTGGACCCAGCCACAGCTCATTACCGATCGGCTATTGTGTTGGCATCATTGTTATGTTAATTGGGCACTCTACCAGCTAGCCGCTCGGCTCGCTGCGGCGGGCTGTGAAGATTAGTTGTCAGTGCGCCCCGGTAGCCCGAGAAGATTATCTCGTTTAACAACAAAGGCGATTAACTCCCCACGAACAAAAGCAATTGACCCCTTCTATTATACTGGAGTTTCAAAGCAGCACGTCTAAAGCCAGAATTGGTACCTTTCTTTCAGGATTGATAAAAAGTGTAACTCCCCCCGAACAAAAGCAGTTCACCCCTTCAATTAAACAGGTACAAGTGGAGTTTCAAAGCAGTACATGTTCATGTAAAAACTAGAATTGGTACCTTTTCTTTCACGATTGAAAAAAAGTGTAGGCCTACATGTACAAACTTGGTGAAAAGATGCGTAGGTGACATAGGTCTAGTGTATGTTTTCAGAAACAAAAAGTTTTATCTCAAAAACTGGGAGGATGGATGCTCGGAATAAAATAATGCCATCTTGCGGGACGAATTTAATAAGTCTAGTAAATATTGGGGAGGCTGCACGCGTGAAATAAAAAGAATAATGGGATCGGGTGGGGCGAATAAAACCCGTCAATATTTTTGGGAGCTGGATGCTCGGAATAAAATAATGCCATCTTGCGGGACGAACTTAATAAGTCTAGTAAATATTGGGGAGGCTGCACGCACGAAAACGCGATTAATGGTACATATGATCACTTTGTTTTTCATTTGAAACAAAAATTCCTGAAAATTTAAGTAGGGTGCATAACTAGTAACTTATTAAGTTTTAGCTAAGTGGCTATTAGACATTTTGAGAAAACAGAGAGACAAAGCACTGTAGCTGTACGCTTCGCGCTGACGCAAAGTCAATATGAATTCATGCACTTCTAAAATATCGTGCATGATTTGCGTCATGCGCCCTCAAACCAGAGCAAAATGCATTCTGTCCTGCACACGAAGCTCTCAGAGTGGTTTATATAGAGTCCATTGAAAGGACAACCACTTCAGAACCTCTGTAAAGATGTTCTACTTGAAAAAAAATATTTTCTTACAGCTTACACTGTCTGGTTCACTGCTTGGAAATACACTCAACCAAAAAAGAAAGTTCCCCTTAATACTTTTTTGTCTAACTGAAAAACTACTGGGCACATCTTGCTCAAATTACGACTGATCAGTGCTGAAATTCCTTAGCAATCCAGCCACACTCTTTGTTTGGCCCAAAACAGTGATAATGTGTACAAAATTATGCAATTCATGACAAATGGTATCGAAAAAAGTTGCACTTTTGTATACGTGCAAGGTGAGTGTGAACCACAACTTGCACGTATACAAAAGGCCAACTGTTTTCAGTATCATTTGTCATATATTGCATAAATTTGTACAAATTATCACTGTTTTGGGCCAAATAAGTCCTTACTTGAGAAAGAGGTGCTCAGTAGTTTTTGAGTTAGACAAAAAAGTATTAGAAGGGGGGAGGGACTTTCTTTTTTGGTTGAGTGTATAAGGCTACATCCGAATGATGTCTAGAGCTATTGTCTAGGTCTTTGCCCATTACAACTTCATGGGGACATGCTGACAATAGAGTGAGACGTAGCTGTTACTCTGGAGGTCTGTTTTGCAAATACTCTTCTGCTAAAATACTGGCATAATTTAGCACAAGTCGAAGAAATATGTGTATGCTAACCCCACACAGATTAGACGATGTAAACAATTGAAAGATGATACTTACAGAAGGGCAGTCCTTTGATATATCCATCCAGGATGAGTAACATGCCGCACAGAAGGAATGCAAGCACGGCTGCAGACTGCAATGAAAGAAGACAAACCACACACGTACATGAACTGCACAGAACCAATGCAATTACATAAACGCAATAACATGTAGAACTGCAGACTGCAGATTCCAAATAAACATGACATCACACTGCACAGCAAAAATACACAAGAAGGCTGAAGAAAGCCAGGAAAAGAAGATGAACACAACAAGTAAGATGTAGTACATGAAAAAGGAAAACAGTTGCTGTTAACTGTAAAAAAAAAACACAAAAAAACTAGAAGGCAGTGTTTTAATGAATGCCATCACAAGAGAGTCAAGCCATGAACTACATGTAGTCAATAAGCCATTTGCGAATAACCTATACCCTTTGAGATTTAAATTTGAAAAACATCTGGTACAGTCGGCTCCCGTTATAACGAGGTCCGATGGACTTTCACAATACTGTCGTTATAGCCGGAACCTCGCTAAAACCGAAGCGCAGTTTTCCCCATTCGTTGTGCACAAGGTGCGTGTTTTAATCGTGTAATGCACGTCCGAAGACGTGAAAAGACGGTCATTTGTTGGTATGTACGTCTGTTAATAATGTACATGTATATTAAATATTTAACTGATGGTGATGAATAAATGAAATAAATAAAATACCTTTGAGGGAACATTGTTCAATATTTGAGGACCTGAATCCGGAGGAAAAGGCATCATCGCTGAGAAGAATCAGGCAAGTAGGCCACTCGCACAAATCGTGCTGAGTGACATTTTGCTTTCATTTTGCATTTGCTGGAATCAGGCAAGAGAGGGCGCCAATACATGCATTACTTCCGGGTTTTAATGACTCCTGATCCTTAGATGCCTTTTGGTTGTTGACTTTTTGGAACAGTTGGGTATTATTGTTTCTGAAGGGATTCTTTGAAATTGTAATTATTTCGGTTATTTATAGCGCACATTCGTGCCAAGTGACATTTTGATTTCGTTTTGCATTTGCTGGAATCGGGCAAGAGAGGGCGCTAATATTACTTCCGGGTTTAAGTGTCTCCATGTGTAATTTCGCAGCAATTGGTGATTATTGTTTGTCGGGAGGGATTCTTTTAAGATAATAATAAATAAACAGAAGTAATAATTTTGGATTAAAATGTGTACAATGTATATGTGGTGGGGCGTTTGAAGATCTTGGAAACCTGTTTTCATTGGGATTGTTTTTTCGGCGGGGCCGGAGGGGTTCTTAATTTGTTTAAGATGTTTATTTTTTTATTCTTCGGATTCTTTTTTGGGGGTGGGAACCACGGTATGTTTTAAACTTTATTTTTTGAAGACAGACTGAATTATCTCTTTTTGGAAGTTGTGGTGGCTCTGAAAAGAGCCGTTTGTTTTGTGATGCTGTGTTCTTTACTTCGTATTTTTTTTATAGCCACAAGCCAACAATAGGGAGCAATTACGCACCCGATGTTCGGGCGGTAGTACTAAAGGCTATTCCTTACAATGTTAACACTTAACTCCTGAGCGCCCCCTATTGTTAGTTTGTAATAATATAGAAACGTGGTACCGCAGTCGTAAGCAAACTTCAAACCTGGTCACGCTAAGGGAAACCGCAGCGGGGGATTAGCGACTAGACCAGCGGTCCACTGCGCCGATTATCACAGTCCCATTGAATTTATTTATAAAGATCGGCGAGATGAAATAACGTTGGGTTGAAGTCTTTACAAAGGTACATTGATAGGTGAAGCTTAAGTGTGTTGCTTGAATTGGAAGACGGGAGCATGATACCCGTTTCGGGACAAAAGGTCTGTCGTTGACAAGCTGCAATGCCCGTAGTTTTGAAAAGATGTCGTTGTAAATGGGTTGAGAACAATGCTTTTCCTCGCATTGGGTCAGCCAAAATCGTCGTAATAGCCGAAGTCTCGTTATGTCCGTGCACGTAATAACCAAATATTTCCCCATAGTAATGTACACAAATTGATCGGGACTGGGAGAATGTGCTCGTTACATCCGGGTTATCGTTATGACCGAGCTCGTTATAACGGGAGTCGACTGTACACTGACTTGCTCATAATGCTTAGCACATTTTAACTTTGAATTCTCCAGACCAAAGACGCTGTTGCTAATCACATGATTCAGGGCAAGCTCTTGCATAGTTACGTATTAAAAAGAGACGCTCAGCATCAATACATTGTTCACAATGGGTGACAATGGCACAAAGACACCAGACCATGCCGGAGCTGGGGGTTGCTAGCATAAGGCTTGCCCCGAATCACGTGATATAATAACAGTCTTTTTGGTCGGGAGAATGCAAAGTTAAAACGTGCAAAGCATTGGATCAAGTCAGCGTTCCAGGTTTTATTCAAATTTAACTCGCAAATGGCTTATTGAATTGTGACAAAGCATTACTTTATATGGTTTATCCCGTTACTTGTGACAATGACATTGTGTCTTCTGTCTTCAAAAGCTCAATACCCCCAAACTTTTGTTTCTCCCAACAAACACACAGTCTCATTCATGTTTACCTTATGCAGTCATGAAAGATATCCTGGCATATGCTGCATATGAGGTTATCGGCTATTCCTTCCCCAGCGGCAACCTGGGCATCCCCTCCACCCGGTGTCGCACCCACTGGAGTGTCAACAGCAGCCACTGAATCACCCATCGCTTTGCCATTGCCAGGAGCAGTGGTTGCTGCAGTATCAGTGGCTGTTCCAATCCCAGAGGACGCAACATCCATTTGCTTCGCAGTCTCTGCATTGGGAACAGCTGCCGATGTGGTGGTTGGAACATCGGTACTGCAAGAATTGTCAGATAGATTTTCAGATGGAGGGACATCGTCTCTGATAAACAGAACAGTTGATTTTGGATGATACAAACTCAGCTGGACCAAGCCAAAATGCGTCTTACATCCAAATTTTGTATTAAACGGAGCACTGGTCAAATTCAATTTGCACATAAATGCATGGTCAGAACCGAGGCTGTTCATAATAAATAGAACATTGTTGAACATGTTGTACCTGACACTCAACAAAAGTGAACTGTATAAAACGTTCATAAAAGAAAATAACATCAACAAATCTTTTTTTTTTTGTATGTGAGTCATGTTTGTGAGTCCGAGTCTTATTCCGTTATACAGTTCTGCATCAAAATGGTGCTTATTTTGAACTACAGCCCCAGCAAAGATACCAGCATTCATGGGTTTCATTTCCATCCAAGTAAGTTATGACTTTGTTTTCTTACATAGGTCTTCGAACATGAAGTATTTATTGCAGTTTGTGATAAACACTGGTAAAGGGCAAAGAGCAAACACTCATTTTTATTATCAAATTTACAAAACATGTACCTTGGCTGTTTTTGAGGTTGTTAGAAGGGGTGGTGGGTTCGAATCTCACCCAAGTGAGCTTGTGAATTTCTATTTCCTTACAATCCTTGAAAAATACTGAATGTACAGTTTACCTTTTTGGTTCTGGAGGTTGACAGAGTCGATCAGACTGATTGCCCTGATCGGTGATGTTGTCCCGAGGTCTCTTGGTTGGCACAGCTCCAACCTCTGCGGGATCCACCCCGGACGCCGGTCGCTTTGTTGGCGTGTCTCCTGATCGGGTATCAGCCGCTGTCTTCTTCACTTCGTACTCCTCCGTGCACTCTTCATCACTTTCTAAACATTTCAAGCGAAAGGGAAAGAGAGTGCAAAACTACCAGCTCATTAATTAAGCAAACTTTTGTACTGTCGGCACTCCCACTTATTTCTTAACCGGTTCGCGTCGGATGACGTGTATACACGCAAAGGTTTTGCGATATTCGGAACGGATGACAGATAAACAGGCAGGGAGCGAGGCCGGAAATATCTGTCAGCGTCCCGCTCGCAGCGAGCGAGGCCGGAATAACAGGGTGTGCTACCCGCAGATGACAGCCTGAACCCAACTTGGATTGAGGTTCATGAAAAACAATCCCGTGCCTTGGTCCGGTCACTGTCTAAATAATTCGGCGTGAACTGGTTAAGAAAGTTTTTCACTTGAAAAATTGTTCTCTATATGGAAATGAAGTGTAGCAAAGTAAAGACGTACGAGTTCCGTGCGCCACCGAAAGAGGGCGCCCTTTTACCTAGCAACGACGTCCCATGGGCGGGACATTTTGCTGGTTGACGCGCACCGTTCCGTGTGTGTGACGCGCGTACACCAGGGGATTTGTACTATGTACACGCAGTGGCCGCGCTTCGCGGCAAATGAATTGCAGTCAGGCAAGATGGCGTCGGTCGGTCACCCCAAACTGTACTTCCTTTGCCGGTGAGGGGGTACGTGTGAACGGAGCGGATAGTCACATATTGTGCATCCCAAAGATAGGGGTCTTTCTATACATTTAGGGTCCAAAGTGTGACATTTTTCCTGTCCTGTCCGAACTTATTAATTTGTCATTAAAATATCATTAAGAATGACTTCAAAAGATGTTTTTTTTTAATTTTTGTTTGTTGGATAGGTAGTTTGCTATTCATAACCACTCTTGGAGAACGACTGCATTGAGGAGTGCATCAGAATTATACAATCATAGATGTCACGGGGGGAAAAAAGGACCACAAATTTACAGAATGTTATGCCATTGCTTGTGGTATATCCTCATGCCTTTGTTCGTGTGAATCAGCATAGCAGCTAGTACTTGAGTAAAAAAAATTAAAATTGAGCGGTTTCTGATTTTCGTCCATTTTTTTAGATACTTACCTGGGTCCTCATTGACGAGAGTTTCATCAAGGAGTTGGCTCAGGTCTTGAAACATGTACGCAACATCTAATTCAATGGAAGAAGAATAAGAAAATTGAAAATTTAATAAAGTATGAAAAACGATAAAGTAATTCAACTGTTGAAAAGAAGATTATTAAAATAAGAGTGAAAAATACAATAGTATCATCACCTTAGTTTCTAGGAACTCAAGTTTCGAAATAGAAAATCTTGAAGCTGAGTCCATCACAAGTCCAGTCACAAATAACAGGAGGAACAATGACAAAGGAATTATTTTGTAACAGTTCATTTGAATAGCTTGTGACTTGTGATGGACTTGTAAGGGACTTGCAGGGACTTGTGATGGACTCTATTAAAAAACTTGCAAATATATCAAAAAGTTTTTCTAAGCTACCTCAAGTAACCCAGGTATTAAAGTAATTTGATCTTTTAGGATTGAAAACTCCAGCCACTGGTTACATGTGCTTTAAATGTACACTTTGTGCCAAGTTACGGTTTCAGTCAAAATCAGTCAAGTGACTGTTTGTAACAATTAAGAGCTCCCAGCCTACACAATTGACTTGCTGCGACTGTTTATGTAACTTGATACATCTATGCTTTGACTTTAGGTGACTGATAAGCCAGCTCTGTCTACCACTTGCCTGCTTTTGTCTGTTGACTGAATTTGATTAGTGAGAGTGCTTGCTTGAAATATGATCTGACTGATGGTGACTAGCCTGTGTAAAAGGCATGGCAGGGGAAGAGGATTGATGTTTTGACTGTATGCGACTGTTCAGATAGCAGGAGGGTTCAAGGTGTTATGTCTGCACGACATAAAACCTTACAATTTTACGTCTATTGTGTGGTCCAAAAAACTCTAGATGAAGTATTTTTTACGGGTCGAAATGTGTACTCACTTTTAGTTGGGTCTTCTTTTTTGAAGACAAGAAAGATCTCATCACCGTGTTGAAGCTTGTGGCTTCTTCCTTTGGTCACTCTGGTCTTGCTGGCTGATGAACTAATCAATGTCCCGTTGGTACTACAAAGAATCCCAATCATATATTGTTATACTCTCACCACTGCAGTTGTTCTTGTCCATTGGACTCCTTACATGTTTAGGGACTAAGTTATATTATAAATATTTACCCTAAATTAATATCTGGAGTCTGCGCTCTAAACTTGCAGCGGCTTCTTCTGGACTCCTGGTTGTTCGTCAACTTCTCTTGGTTTGGTCCATGATATTTACAGGCATGCAACTGCCAATTTAGAAAAACACGAGGACATTCCAAACCACTCAAGACTTTGTACAGTGTTTTTCAAATTGTAATGGCATTCATGAGAAGTAAAAAACGAGGAAATCAGCGGATCCGAGGAAAAGTTGCATGCCTGTATTTACTTACAGGCGTATATTGTGTCCTTCCACGGGAAGTCACTGTATGGAGCAAATACAACCTAAAGATTCCTATTCCCGTATCCGGACACATATGGCATTAAAATGGCGACTGGAACTGTAGACGATATAACACTGCTAAGTCTCCACACAGCAAAAGTGGGGTGGTGAAAGCATCTGCTCCTGGTTAATATACCAACGCATAGAATGGAATGCCCTGCCCTGCCCAGTCCAAAGAACTGAACACAATGGGCAATAGAACACAAAAATGCCTTCACCACTTGGGCTCTCACTTTTTATTTCTTCAGCCAGGACTGCACATAATATACAGCTGCTGTAGGAATTTCACTACACACAAAAAAGTTGTTTTTTTTTACCATGTTTGAGAGTTCTGGAGGCGCAAAGTACCGGTATGCATCCAACATTCATTCCTTACTAGGCCCTTTTGGCCATGTTGGCTGAAGCATCCTCGATCTAGTCGGAGGATCAGATATTCACTTACTAGGCAAAGCCAAGGGTGAGCGTCTGATTTTTGCCATTCAGCCTCAATCCTCCGAAATCCTCCACAACCACCTGGAGGATTTTGGAGGATGGAGGACGGGCAAGGTTAGGACAAAAAAAAAATAAGTTGGTCTCTGGTCAGCGCGCGCGTCGATTTTTTTTTCCCGAAATGTTCCGCGGTAGCTCCAACAGCGCCCTCTATTTCCGCACCTCCTCTTTTCTTTTTTACCAAAGAGCACCAAGGAATGAAAAATTGCACCAAGGCAAATGATCGAAAGCACCAAGACAAATTATGGAGGACACCAATGTACATGAGGACACCAAAAAAGCAAAATAGTACCTACCTTGTCTGTACAATCCAAGCTTGAAGAAAAAAAAAAAAAAAAAAAAAAAAAAAAGGAAAAAAAAGCCACGTGGCCACGTCAATTCCGGGACTTTGGTCTGACCAGAGACCGAATATTTATTTTTTTTGGCCTTAACATCATTAAGAGATGCATTGATAGATTATTGGGGTTGCAAACATCCAAAATCCAATTGTTTACATTGGCCAGCGTGTCTTCTGTGTAGGCCTACATGGTATTTTTTGGGTCAGTTGTTGCCAAAACCAACCACTCTTCAGTTCAAGCTTGTTTTATACTCATTCCATGCAAAATAATGATGCCCAAACCCGACCCAAAACCGACATCTGGTCGGGTCGGGTCGGGTCGGTTTAGGTTTTGCGTAACTTACATTTTGGGTTGGGTCGGGTCGGTTTAGCCATCTTTTGAAAGAAACAAAAAACTAAATTAATCGGAAATAAACCAAAACAGTTGAGAAATTCAGGTGATGCAATATTATCTAATGTTTCGGGTCAGTTTGGCCTTGTCAAACCGTCCCGATGCACATCATTAATGCAGAATTCACGAGTTCAGTGCAACAAGTGATGCACTTGGTCCAGTTTGATGTATTGGCAACATCCACCCAACTAAAATACTAAAATAGCCTACTATTATTTTGTTTATCAAGGTCTGAGAATAAGAAAGGACATTAGGCCTACCTGGTATCTCTTACAATGACTGTACCATCCTCATTCCTCAGCAGGACACAGTGCTGACCTGATATCAACTTGTTCTCTGGCAGACTGAGGTTGCACCCTACCACAAAATCATGGGATGATTTAATAGACGTTACATGTACATGTAGCCTATGTGTAGGAAGTGGCTATCGTTACGGCAGCCGTTGTTTAGCGCCCTCTACGATACTTTTTTGATACACACGCAGGTATATAATTATTTGTTTCCCCACGTTTTAGCGAGCAGTGCGACAGCTCGGTCGATAGAGGGTAGGATTTTGCACCGCGAGGTTGCGGGTTCGCATCTCAGATTTGCACTCGAATTTTTTTTTCCTTTTCTAACCCGAGGCTTTGGAAGATTTTTTTAAAAGGGAAATAAAGTCCGAATTTCATAACGTTCAAATTCACTTTTTTCCGGAAAGATTTCTATATACGAAGTTCATTAATTTTTCTCTGTATTGACTAACAAGCGCCCAGATAGCAATTTCATGTCATCAAAGTCAATTTGAGCAGTGAGGAAATACAAGCATTTTCTTAGAAAACACTTTTTCAGTCCAATCTCATAGGGTTTGTACACAGAGTGTTGAGTGAACTTCGTATATGGAAATCTTTCCGAGAGATTTAACTTGACCTCACTGAGTTTACTCGCATTTAACTCGGTAAATCTCAATAAAGGTCAATCATTGCAAAAATGATGATAAGAAATGAATCTGGGACTGAATGGCAGGAGTTAAATGACAACCCAATGATAAAATTTCGGGCTGGGTAACTCCAGCTAGTACTAGTAGTACATCATCACCATCCGTCCCGTGTGTGTGGCCTTTATTTTGGAGGTAGTTTATTGTCCACATTTTAAATAGGCAGTGGATATTTTGCCGGAGACGGCAAACCTTCAGTAAACGTTAGTTTGCCGGATATGCACTGAACATGCGCAGTTACTGTTTTTTTGTACTTAACACATTTTTCGGTGACAAATTTTAGTCTGGCTCCATGCCAATATTATCGTTGTAACTTCCTATTTACAAGATGGGAATCAGACTAGCTGGAGTTACCCAGCCCTGAGTTTTATCATTGGGTTGTCATCTAGGGCTGGAGCGAGTTTTTCTCGTAACTTGTAGTATAGGCAAAAATTTTTGGAAAATGTTCAATTTTGTCCCCGTTACACACTAATTGCAACTGCAACTCACCCCAAACTTGCCTGGAATAACCATTACACAGGTCCTTGAAGTAAAAAACGATCCACGATGAAGATTCAGCCTACAATTGCAGTGAAAACAGGAGGAATAACCGCTAACCTGACAACTTTGCTGGCATGGCCAGGACCACAATTGGTTTGTGCACAAAAAAAATTGTGTACAATGAATGGCGGTCGATTATCAGGCACAGAGCGCTGTCAACTACTCGTTTTTGCCGGCTGCGCTGGCTGTTGGCGCATGACGTCACGCGGAAGCGTAATACCCGATAACTGTTTCATGCACTAATTTGAGGTTTACCACTCGCATCACAGCTTTGGTACTGGAACCGCAACCGATTGTGCATGAAACAGTCATTGGGTGTTACGCTTCCGCGTGACGTCATGCGCCAACAGCCAGCGCAGCCGGCAAAAACGAGTAGTTGACAGCGCTCTGTGCCTGTTAATCGACCGCCATTCATTGTACACAATTTTTTTTTGTGCACAAACCAATTGCGGTCCTGGCCAATCCAGCAAGGTTGTCAGGTTAGCGGTTATTCCTCCTGTTTTCACTGCAATTGTAGGCTGAATCTTCATCGTGGATCGTTTTTTACTTCAAGGACCTGTGTAATGGTTATTCCAGGCAAGTTTGGGGTGAGTTGCAGTTGCAATTAGTGTGTAACGGGGACAAAATTGAACATTTTCCAAAAATTTTTGCCTATACTACAAGTTACGAGAAAAACTCGCTCCAGCCCTAGATGACAACCCAATGATAAAACTCAGGGCTGGGTAACTCCAGCTAGAATCAGACCATTTTATAATTTCGGACTTTATTTCCCTTTAAAAAAAAATCCTCCAGAGCCACAAATCTGAAAAAGAAAAAGTAATACTCTGCAATAAAATGTTTGAGACATATTAAAATAATAAAAGAAGAATATTCTTATTTATTTGGGATGGGAAAAAAAACCTTTAAAAATGTGCAGTAGGACTAGGATTCGAACTCGGGACATCCCACTCATTAATGCTAGTGCTTAACCACTGCACCAATTGTACTACACAACTTTTAAGGGAATGTTAATGTTATAATTCAGCCCTATCTTAATAAGAGTACAGCGCCCTCTGTTGATATGGCTTGCCGCCGGCAAACCTTTAGTAAACGTTAGTTTGCCGGCGTTACCTCCGGCAAAATATCCACTATCTTTTAATTATGGAGCTATGTCAGGTAGGCCTACAACTTTCTTTCCAATTTAGGAACCAAAGGAGACTGAGTTGAATACCTAGCGCTCTTCCCATGGTGAATTTCTCTCCACAAATCGGCAGAGTGGGTGCGTCAATGTCCGTAGTGCAAACCAACTGCGCCCATTCCTCACCATCTTTCCTCGTTATCGACATTCCTCAGAAGATCTTGTCAAATACAAACCTGTCAGTCACTGCTTTAGATCATGGAGCTCAAATAAAATAGACAGACTTCTGTTTGTGACTTTCTGAGTAGGAGGTAAAGTTATGTAGTAATTCTGGGGCGTCGTTTACAGCACTTTTTCATGTGTAAACTTGTCCAGCGCGTCTGTGGGACGTCACATTCACATCAGTTCTATAATCCATAGATTAAAAGTAGTTCGTGCACGCCATCCCATAAAGCACCGGTTATAGCCTCTAATCCATCGTGACTGTGTTATGCCAGACCATGATCAGACACAGGTGTATTAGCTTCCCCGGCCCCTGCAATAATGTGCATAAAATAATCGTTTATGGTCATCGTTTTCAAACAGTGCAAAATATAAAAAAATGTACATTGAGGCTAATTTTGCTTGATCTCTGAATCTGGCACTAATTTATTGCGTGTGTATATTAATAAAAAGGAAATACCAATCATTTTTTTTTTTTTGGGGGGGGGTAAATGATGTGGCTTGCATTTAGAGTTGATATGAAAATCATTGAACAAAACTCATCGATCTTGATTATATTATCCCCCTTTTAATAGTTTAACTGAAAATACAGACTAGTCGGGGTCATTTACATTCAACAAGCAACAACCAACACAAATTTTTCTCTCCTAGAATAGTGTCGTTTTTTTTCAAGGTACATGTACTTGACTTAAAAATGTCAACCACCTCTACCCTCGGAAATGTGATCAGCCCAACGAATAATCCAAAACGTGCATCACGCACGTCGTACATGATCACTACAGCCGACAACTAGCCGCCCTGGAGGAAAGACTATACCCTGGGGTATCATGGGTAAAATGTCCTTGTATTCCATGGAGTGGAGACCAGAAGTACAACGGCTATCGCATTCGTCTTGCTTTCGCCGCAACCATAGCACAATCCAATGAAACTGTAGTCTGATGAACGATAATGTGAAGGTTCACTGACGCGAATAATTACGCAATTTTTATCCAAAGCGGGAATTTCCAAATACGCGCAATGGCTTTTTTGGTGCACTGGTGCTACAGAACTGACAGGAAAAATCGAGATTTCTCAATTGTCAAGTTCAACTTATGTCATAAAATACCACATACGATGTTGGAAAGCACGCAACAATGTATACATAGAGAAAAACGGAAAACCGCCATATTTTAACCATAAACTGCCAGGATTTATCGTGCGAAAGTGATGACGTTGCTGCACCTCAACTGGTTTCAACCGGTTCCTGTTGACACGGTAAGAATTACTGCAGCAGGTGTTCCAAATCAACATTTTTATTATTATTTAAATGTTTATATTTTATTTCTACGACAAATTTGCATTTGTGTGTGTTTTTCAGTCAGTCGAATTTCGTTGTACATAACATACGTTTTTTATTTGAATTTAATCTTCTCCTGTTTTTTTCCACCGTTAAGCGAGCATATATCTCAAAAGATACGCATCGGACGGGATTCGAACCCGCGAAGGCATATGCCCAATGGAACTTAAATCCATCGCCTTAACCGCTCGGCCACCGACGCGGCTAACTGTCAGATGGTGTTAATAACTTATATATGTAAGGGTCTATCATTTTGAAATATGCCAAAGTTTGATTAGCTCATATTCTGAATTGATTGCATATAAGGGTCTATGTATTTATTATTTTCCAATGATCACCAACTTCTGATATTAATTATTTTTCCAATGATCACTGAAATTCTGATATCTATTATTTTCCAATGATCACTAAAATTCTGATATTTATTATTTTTCCAATGATCATTGAAATTCTGATATTTATTTTTTTCCAATGATCACTGAATTTCTGATGTTTATTATTTTCCAATGAACACTGAAATTCTGATATTTATTATTTCCCAATGATCACTGAACATTCTGATATTTATTATTTTTCCAATGATCATTGAAAATTCTGATATTTATTATTTTCCAATGATCACTGAAAATTATGATATTTGTTATTTTCCAATGATCACTGAAAATTCTGATATTTATCATTATTTTCCAATGATCACTGAATTTCTGATGTTTATTATTTTTCCAATGATCACTAAAATTCTGATATTTATTATGTTTCCAATGATCACTGAAAATTCTGATATTTATTATTTTCCAATGATCACTGAAAATTCTGATATTTATTATTTTTCCAATGATCACTGAAAATTCTGATATTTTTTATTTTTCCAATGATCACTGAAATTCTGATATTTATTATTTTCCAATGATCATTGAAATTCTGATATTTATTATTTTCCAATGATCACTGAACATTCTGATATGGGCAGAATGAACCCTGCGAGACGCAAGGCCAAGTAAAAAAAAAAACATGTTTAGCATCCTGCCTTTTTGAAAAAAAGGAAGGAGGAGGCCCTCTTTTTCTCTAAAATGGCCGCCATTTGTTTTTTGAAGTGGCTGCCACTTGGACTCAGGAAATGACATACCAGCTTTATATGGGCTAGATGCAACATACAAAGAGGCCAAAATGATGTCACTGTTTTAATTTATAATTTTTTTTATTCAATTAAAAAAACAAAAAAAGGCAGCCTCCAAAAAGGAAGCTGGTGAGAACGCTAAACATTTTTTTTTTATTTGGCCTAAATGACACACTGGATCACAACATCTTACTTCACAAGCTAAATCATTATGGTGTACGAGGAAAATCTCTGGAGTGGTTCCCAGATGCAGCTACTTATCCAACAGGAAGCAATATTATGTCACTATGAATGGAAGTTCATCAACCCCACGCATGCTAACTTGTGATGTCCCCCATGCAGGGATCTATCCTCGGACATATCTTCTTCTTAATTTATATCAATGACATTTCCAAATCATTTTACACACTTTCCTTCATACTTTTTTGCTGACGACTCCAATCTCTTCTACTCGAACACAAACATACACACCATTATCAACACAGTGAATGCTGAACTTGTGTCTGAACTTGTGTCTGTTTGTAATTGGATTAAATTAAACAAACTCACACTGAACATAAAGAAAACCAAATGTTGTTCTACCGAGCGATATCTTAATAAAAAAATATTAAGGTTAGTGAAACCAACTGCATTAAGTTCCTTGGGCTGTACATAGATAAAAAGTTGACATGGAAGCCACACATTAATTCCCTATGTAATATAGTAGCCCGAAATATTGGTGTGTTAAATAGACTTAAAGAGTACTTTCCTCAGCGCATTTTGTTATCTCTTTATAATACTCTCATTTTGCTTCATTTAAATTACGGTACTCTGGCATGGGGAAGTGCATCCCATACTATACTAAATAGACTGTTTCTATTACAAAAAAGGGCCGTTCGTTTAATCAGCAATTCTCATTACTTAGCTCATACTAATCCCCTTTTTCTCAATCTTAGGACCCTCAAGCTGAATGGCATTTACTCTCTCCAACTTGGAACCCTCATGTATCAACTTGCCCACAATGAATTACCCATCTGCCTCGCTTCAATATTTTCCAGAAACCGTCATATTCATGCATATTCTACATGCCAGGCTTCCCATTTTCATCTCCCATTTTCCCGTACAAATACTTCACTAAAAGCATTAAAGTATCAAGGCCCCAAATTGTGGAATTCCCTTCATACAAACTTGCACAATGCCAAAACTCTTTGTCTCTTCAAAAACAAATTTAAAGATTCTAAAATCAGTTCTTATTGTTTAATGTAACCTTGTGTACTAATTTATGAAACTTATATTTTTCTTATGCCAAGCTGCCTAATCCTCTTTGCTATTGCTACACATTAATGTTCTTTTGTCATATATTAATTTATTTTTTTGATCTCATGTTCTCATTACGTACTTCCGCTGAAGACACAACTTATTTATTTATTTTTGTCCCTGTAACTGTTCTTGTTTTGTTTGTTATATTTCGTCTAACTTATCCAATTTAACTTGACCTGTACATAATCAAATAAGTCTCTTTATTTTCCAAACTTTATTGTCCATGGTTCCCATACTCGACAAGCTCTGCTTCCTACGGGTCCCCTCCACTTCACTGTCCTTACGTGTTTAGTACATGTATTTGTATTTCAGTGTTTGTTAATGCTGTACTTTTGTTCTCTGCCTGTGTATGAAGTGGAAATAAATTATAAAGAAAAAAACGTAAGCCATTGACCAAACTTTTTTTCACAAATGTTTTTAGTGAGCAACATTTGTGGGTCCACAATTTGAACAGAAAATCGCTAATCTGAACAGCAGCTTCCCGAAATGAAATCACAGCAACAGCGCCCTCAGTTGTCCGGAAAAGCGTGGACAGTTTTAAATGCTAAAAAGAAGTGCATTTTTCAATGAAATTAACCGGAAAAGTATCAAATAGTTTTCATACATGTATGAGGAGCAGAAAGTTGCACATGTCACGGTTCGTAAGAAAACTGACTCTTATCTTATGGACCCTTTAAGACGGAGTTAGATGGCAATGACTTTATAACAAAGAACACACACACTCTGAAATACATGTAGCTGCAACGCATAATATATGTGTCTATAAGAACATAAAAACAATGAAATTTTACAAACATACCTGCCAGCGGATACCACTTTATCGGAGCTTTCATAGAACTTACTTTTCCGAAGCCTACAGTGCCACTTTTTTCCATCATTAAATGAAAATAAAATTCAAATTTAACTTAATTTATACTGTAATTGTTTTGTATGTATTGTGCGCCATGAGCGTCTTGCTTGGCAGATATCGGCGCCTTATAAATGTTCATTATTATTATTATCTATAATTACACCTTTATCAGACAAATTCATTTACCTGTCTCCAGAAAAAGTATCATTCAGAATTACAAACATGACTTTTATTTGTTTTGTGCATTTACGTAACGTGACATGAATCCGCCACTTCAGCGAAATGGGTTGCTGCCGTTTGCACTTTTCTAAACACCAATTGCTGTGCACTTGTCTCCGAGTCACTGCAACATTTGGTCGCTTTAAAGTTCCAACTGGTTTGGAAGCTTTAGGTTTTTGTTTTTAATTATTTCCAGCACCAGTGAATACACATTTTGATGTGTACAATTGGATACCTGATAGGTCTTTTAAAACCGTACTTTGTCAAGTGCATTTTTTATAGCGATCTTTGAAACAGTAAGGTAGATACGACATTAATATTGAACTGTAGAATATAGGTTACAGGAAATTGCTGCTATTTATTTATATTAAAGATTGAGATATTAAGTTCGGTCTACACCAAGTTTACAACGATACCAAACTAACAGTTTAAAGATGCCGGGAACAAAACGCAGTTACTTTCCCTTGGTGGCTTTAACTTCGAACAAAAGAGGGTCGAAGCTTAACAGTATTCAACCCTTCCGAATTTCCAGAATCTGTCAATATACATGCATATCTAATGCCTTGTTCTCCATAACACCGTAACCCAAGATAGGCTTTACGTCTTGTGAGAAATGCTCCTTCCTTACTTTAGTTATTTAGTAAAAAGGTAAAATGACAAGTAGTGAAAAACGCTCACTGAGATCCGAACTCGGATCACCTGATTACAAGTCAGAAACCAGTCCACGAATCAGGTGTCAATCGTCTGCGATTTGAACACCATTAATCCTTGTAAGCTAAAGCCCTGGACATCATGAATATGCATAACGAAGAGAGAGCGCGCCCTCTTTTGATATTGTCCGATTGTCTGAAACAATGCGCGTTCTTCGCTCGTACCCCCGCCCTGCAAACAGGACGCTGGGATACTCTGATGAGCTTCACAGAATATTGTGAAGGAAGTGGCCTATGACCTATGAATAAAGCATCTGGCTGCAGCTGTTCAAGACCGCATTTAGACAATGTGCGCAAATGCTATCTGAAAACTTTCCATAGAATTTCGCACATTCCATACCGGCTGTGATTTCTGTTTCATCGGACCATGTGGACACAATTTTATGAGCGTCGCATAATGCAATCCGACCGTTCGTGATTCGAAACGGAGGCCTGAGCGAGTGACGGGAATTGTAAATTACAACACAGATAAGTTTTACAGAATTTTCTACATTATTACGCTTTTCAACGAGAAAAAAATCTCTAAACTGGAATAAAACTAGTAAGAGTAATAATCAGTCTTATCGGCCGTTTCAAACCTTGCAGAGTCATGGCCTTGATGACGCGCAAGGTCACTGGTCACGCAAAATCCAACCAATCAGAGCGTGAATTCATCGGAGTTATCCCAGCATCCTGTTTGCAGGGCGGGGGGTACGAGCGAATGCGCGTTCGGACGACCATAGACGGATGAGACATGTAGGTGGTGGCATTGTAGTCCTTTTATACCTTTTTCTAAAGATTTCACATCCAGGGTGATGTTTTTCTATAGATTTCACATGTGGGGTGATGTCCCTGAAAGGACATCACCCCACATGTTCAGCACGGGTTTACCAATTAAGGGAAAGCTGAATCAGAAACAACCATTGGAGTAACACCTTACGATTTCACCATCGGCCCGAGCTGTTGACGACCAATGTGATAACAGATATGCTTCGTATCATAATGTTTATCTTCGGATAAATATACAAAAATGTAGTAACCACCTTTTCCTACACCCTGGATTTCTGAAACTGCACTCGTAGATTGTAAAAAAAAAGAAATGAAAGGAATACAATTATTATTGTACATGCCTCTACGTTCTCACCATTGACTTGCGTATTATTTCGTAAATTCTGTATCCAGTTAAAGTATACAACTTATAAATACATCTGTTTTTAAAATACTTTTGATCTGTTTCTTTTTCTTTATTTGGTTTTCAGCCGACGAACGAGAATAATGTAAAGAATAAAATCGCTAAGATAATACGTGTTAATTATGATTCCGACACCGACTGTAATCTGTGAAAAGTTTTTACTATGCAGAAATAAGGTGTAAAAATAGATAGATGATCAATATTGGGGAATCTCCCTGTATAGTACGGTACAATTGAATGTGATGCAGTAAATATGCCAGCTCTGGTACGCAAACAAAATATCTCTGAAATAAGGATAACCCTGAATTAATTTTCAGTGACAGATTTTCCGACTTAATCTTAATGGTAAATAATTTTACTTTATGTAGCAAATATAAAATGCAACTTTCATGGCAGTTTTCGTCTTATTGTGTACAACTGCTTCATTTTAAAGAAATGTTTTAGGATAATGATTTGAAGAACTATCTAAATAACTACTATTTCATTGTGATTGAGGCTTTATGTCCATACTCGTTTGAAAATAAAAGCTTGGCGTTTAATTTCAAAAACGAAATCATCAGGAAGTTGTTTTGCTATGAACACCTTCCGCTATGCTGAAGGACACTGAAATAAAGACGAACATAGATAAAAACAAGCGTTTGTTCGGAATATTATCCTTCGACTGAATTTGTGAAAGTGAAAATCGTAGAAGTGGATGACTATATACAAAGGATAATAAAAATGGATTGAAATAATTAAATCAGAAACCTCAACATTTGAAGATTGAAGATTTGGCTGTATGTGTTTCAGTTTGATTCAGTTTGATTCCCTGAATAGAAATTTCACTGTAAACAAAGTCATTTTATCAGAGCACAGTGGCTGAAAACATCCCAATTGTAATTGTATTGTGTAAACTTATGGAAATAAAATAAACTACGAGTGAAGCTGAAATGAATCAGTGGTGTTTTCCTTTCTTTTTTTGACAGTATGTAGTCAGTCATGTATATATGAGGCTCACACTTCCTTCATTCATGATGGCCGGTTGTTCACTTTCCCTTTCAATTGTAAAACAATGATCATTCGCGGAATATGAAAACCGGTCGAGTTGGCAAACTGTGATTTTTTTTTCAAACTGGTGTTGATCAAATGTTCACTTGAGCGTCAGTCTCCATCAGTCACACATCTGATCAGCTGTTTCTCAGTTCTACCGCAGTTGCTTTATGTTCGAGATGGCTAACATTTCCACCGTTTTTCCGATTCTGAATGGCTCGGTAGAGCCGACCTCCCCGTCAGAGTATCACTACAAGGCTCGTGTAGTCCTAGCCGTCTTCTGGATACTGTTCACCGTCTTCGGTTTCACGGGGAGCAGCCTCGTCATCTGGTCGGTCGTGTTGTCCAAAAAGCTGCGCACGGTGACCAACGCCTTCGTGGTCAACCTGAGCGTCGCCGACTTCTGGACCGCCATGTCGTACCCGTGGATGGCCGTGGCGGGGCTGGGCGTCCACCAATGGCCCCTGGAGAGCGAAATTCCCTGCAGAATCGCCGCCCTGCAGTTCAACACGGGCTTCGGTGCCAGCTTGTACATCCTAGCAGCCATAGCCGTGAATCGCTGGGTGGTTGTCACCCAATCCATCGATACATACAGGTGGCTGTACACACCCAAGAAACTTGCCGCCATGATCGCTGCTACTTGGATTATCCCGTGTCTGCTGGTTTCTCTCCCACCGGCGTTTCAAGCCGGAAAACTGGGATTCGATGAGAGGACCCACACCTGTTCCGACGTCAGCAACGCTACTTACAACCTGGTCATGACTCTTGGCTTGTACCCCATCCCCATGGTCATCATCATCAGCTCCTACACGGCCCTGTATGTCCACATCAGACGTCACTTCAAGCAGCAGAAGAGACGCCACGCTCCCATGGGAAAGAGTTCTACAATCGTTGACGTGGAGCTCACTAGTGACAAGAGTTTCAGCGCGGATCCGACCGGTGCGTCGTCGGGCCCAACCATCGACTCCATGTCTGCGAAGAGCCTGAAGGCCATCAAACGCCAGCAGATGGCAATCACCAAGAACTTGTTTCTGATCTGCCTGGCTTTCACCGTGCTGGTCTCGCCTTACTTCATGTCTCTGGCCGCTCCGGGCAGCGCTGGCTTCACAGTCTACGCCGCCATCATCGCTACGGTCAACAGCTGTGTTAGTCCCATCATCTACACCGTCAACCATCCCCATTTCAAGGTCATCTTCCCCCTGATGCTTACCTGCCGCTACGCTGAGATTCCCGAACCCTCGGACTTTCTGAAATACTTCCTCTCACGGAAAAAGTAGAGAATCGTTGTTCAACTTTGGTGCCATCCGTCTCAATGGCCGTGGTATGTCAGTTGCATCCCGGAAGAGGATGATGGTGTTCTTCGGCAAGACATGTACTTCAAATTCTTATCTCAGTGCGTGAGTATAAAGTGGGTGCGGTTGGGTCCGAGCTCTATGGGTTGACGTAGCAGAGAAATGCCACTCGAACTGCTACATTTAACTGATCATGCAGTGTTTATAGTATGCATGCAACGATAAATTGTACACATTTTACCACATTATGAAAGCATGACAATTAACCTACACAATGTTTAACAAGGCAACAGACCAAGTTTATCGTGGAGGGGTAACTAAAATAAAATAAACAATGTTTAGAACTCGATCTATTTATTCCGTCATTTTTGGTAGAAGAATTTGTCTTAGTATATAGATTAATCTATTTTACTAAATTGGGTAAGACAATAGAGAAGTACATGGGACGATTTATTTCAATTTTTAAATGAACGGAACATGACACATTTTATTCTACTATAACCTCGGTCGATAACATTTATTTTGAAGCATATTTTTTTGCAACAGATATATATAGACTATATGTACATATTTAAAAAAGAAAAAGAAAAAAAAGTCCGTTCTTTTTGTAAATGGGCAGCGCTGTATCAGCAGCATTAGCTATATTAATGTGACTCGTTTGTTATTACTGAAAACTAAATGCAATACCAATAATTCGATACCAGAGAGGACGTACTGCTACCAATGAATGTACAATATGGGAAGAATCAGTATATCGTGCGTGCATAATTCACATTGTATATACAGTTATGCAGACTTTGAACCATTGGTGACTACTGAATGAACGGTTCGGGTCCAGTAAAATGCTGTTAACGCATGCGTTATAGCAAACGAATCCATGAGTAACGAGATTCAACAAATTGTTGTTTCCTCTGTTTTCCCTCAATGTATAGTATCCACTGAGCTGAAAGTTCAACAAGTTAGTTGTTGTGCACTAAACTTACGATTCTGAGCAACATTGTGCTACAAACGAGAAAAAGAAGAGGCAAATATAAATGTTCCTATATGCATTTAAAGGGAATGTACATCATTGGCTTTTGTTCTAATTTTCAGAAATGAACTATTTGAGGGGTTAGTATAATAGATCAAATATTGTTACACTGACATGTTTGAAGTTTTGTGTTCGAAAATACTGCAAAAACGAAGAAAAACAAAAATTTCAAGTAGTCTGGTTCCCTGACTCCACTAAAGATAAAATGGATCATTTATAGATGCCGGAAAATTGTAAGATAATGGAACCAGTCTAACTGGCCTGCACCCGTTTATGAACATTGTAACCAATAGCAAACAAAATTAGGACTGAAAAAAATTGGTAAATTTGGAGCAGTAGTTGAACAATAGTTAGGTTTTTCCAACGGTGGTCGGCCGACCACCGTTAGAAATTTATACAAAATACCCATTTTCTTGAAAATAACTTCACACATGGTGCCATAATTTTACAGGATGCTTCAGACTGTCATTTACCAACATCCTAATAAGGTATTTTGTAAAAACAATTGTAGTTTTGTTTTTCGATGTTTGCAAATGTTGTATATTTCCTTTAAGGATGGGGCGGTTCTGCTTTGTAAATACATTCTTGTACCTATAACAGATAAGTTCTTCGTTGACTACTTATAATAAATAAGGGGACGAGCAAGTTGTGCATGTTTGCATGAACTTCACAGACGAATATCATAACCGAAATTTCGTATCACCGAGTCAATGATCAAACACCAATAATGTCATATTATCTGCTGTTTTGCCTAAAACGCTGGCTCCATATATGTTGAGAAATGGTCATAAATTTGTAGAAATGTAATTCCTACCAGTGTTTTGTTAATATTCTTCAATTCTTAATCTTTCCTCAATTGTTAGGATCACCCCTGTTTGTACTTTGAACAATCCGTCATTATTGTAGTAGAATTAAAAAAAAAAGTGAAACTGAAAATTCCGTACCGTCCAATGCTATCTGCTTGCATAATACATAATGTAATCTGGATATATTGCGTGCACAGTTATGAATACTTTCTGTTTTGATTTCCATATAATACTGAATTTGCTGTTTACTTCCTCGTTGAGAAATGTTGCTACGTGTTTTAGTGCTTCACGTATCGGTTTTGTAAACGAAAGCAGACGAGGCAAGCCCAGTCAGGCTGAATCCAGGGCTTACCTACAATTATTTCCAATTGATACAGAGTGGATATTGCTGCTATATAAGCCTTTTCATGTTTCTGTGCCCAATTTCACAAAATCCGCAACACTGGATTCCGCGCTTACGGCCTGTCATTCTGTGCTAACCGAGGTAACAAAGAAATTTGCGCTATGCCGGGGGGAAAGCACAAAATCCTTTAGCCTGGCCCGCCGGCGCCGATTTTTTTTTCCCCAAACGAGATCGGACAATATCAAAAGAGGGTGCTCTCTCCACGTTATGCATTATTCAGGGTGTCCAGGGCTTTATAGAATAAGTTATATAACAAGGATTAATGCTGTTTAAATCACCGACGATTGGCAGCTCATTCGTGGACTGGTTGAGGAAGTCCTGACTTCTAATCAGGTGATCCGAGTTCGAATCTCAGTGAGCGTTTTTCACTTCTTCTCATGTTACCTTTTAAATAAGTGAGGGAGGAACATTTCGAGAACAAGGCTTTAGATATGCATGTAATGGACCAATCAGAAGATTAGGAACGGATGTCGTTTGGGAAAAAAAGATTCGCGGCCCGGCGCACACCTTTCCGCTTTTACCGGATCACCCCATCAGAGGTACTTTTTTTTTTATTTTTTTTTTAACCGTTGCGGCTAGACCGCAACTTACCTGCCCTATTCCGTTCTATGATCGGTCACATGATGATCAGGCACATAATGACCAGTCACATGATGACAAAATGACAGCCGTCACACCTTTCCGATGACATCGGATCCGGTGGAATCGGATGCGAAAAAAACGTTAACATGTTGGAGTTTATCCGGTCGCCCGGTGTACGGTCAGATCGATCCGAATTGTTCAGCGCACACGTATACCTCTGTACGATGGCCCGGTGAACCGGTAATATCGGAAAGTCGCGCGCGCCGGACTTTAGCGGCGATTTTTGGCTAATGGTAAGCAGATTAGCATTGAAATTAGGTCGGTCCGTCCGAAATTAGGTCGGTCGGTCTGTTTGTCGGTCGGTCGCGGTCGGTCGGTCGTCAATCAATCAGTCAGTGTGACACAGGTGCAAAGAGGACACTAGGCTAGCGCTCTTGGAACAGCAAAAAGTATATGAAGGTCGTAGACAACTCATTATAATTAAACCATTACTTTATGACGTCACACTATTGTTAAAAGTGTGGATTCGGAACGAAGAATCTTTAGTAAAGTGTGGATTCGGAACGAAGAATCTTTAGTAAAGTGTGGATTCGGAATTACGAATCCACACTTCGAACACGTCGGACAATATTGTTCTCCATTATGAGCATTAATAGGACCGTATGCGTGAAAACTTTCCTTCCGAAATTACCAATGCATTTTCACTGTCAGATTCTCCGCCGTCACTGCAAAACCTACTTTGAGTCAGAAAGAAATCATCGTCTGACGGAAGGAGCCGGGAAAAATGATGCAACCTGACGCCACTTTTTTCTTCATATATCATCTCAATGAAGGTCATTCATTGAAAAAATGATGATAAGACATTAATCTGGGACTGTGAAATATTTCCAATTTTGTTAGGAAATACTTAGAAAATTGTCTTGACTTTGTACACAATCGCGGAAGTGGCGTCAGGTTGCAATATTTTCCCCAAGTCTTTACATCTCCACTCACTGTTAATGCCAATTCTCCTTTTGACGCAATGGTTTTAAGTCGAAGAATACACTCGCAAGTGTGTATTCATAATTTACGAATCCACTCGGCGCTTCGCGCCTCGTGAATTCTTAAATTATACGAATCCACATTTTTCGTGTATTCTCCTTAACAGACACCCCAAACAATCGAACCATTTGGTCGATTTCTCCCGCTTTACAACAAAAGCTTTACCATCTTAAAATCAAATGACTGCTTTTCCGAAACGGACAAGCTGAAATTAGTTTTGATTAGGCCCTATTGCACGAATCCGAAACACTGCACGAATCCGAAGCACAATGTGCATGAAACACCATGACAGGTTTTGGATAATCGGAATTGGAAATTCGTTTTTGTGTGCAGAAATTTTAGATGAAGGCTGAAACAGCTTTCTGGTGGTTGCTTACAACGACACAAGGACGACTATGGGCCTGCCCCATGGGACCAGCGAAGATTTTAATTAAGCACACCAAGTCATTTGTGCTTAACGAATTTCTGTTACCAGCCGAAATGTGTGCGCTGTCAGTTTCTGTTGACTGGTCCACAGACTGGTTCCCAAGCAATATTTTATTTGCCTAGCGACTATGAAATCGGGTCCTGGTGACTTCAGCCCGATTTGGAGAATTCGAGTCCAAACGGGCAAATTTTGTGACGAGCAAGTAAAAAAAATCTGGCAATTTTATCTCCCAACTTTTAGTCTTAAGAAAAGTTCCTTGGTCAGGTCATACATGTGGAAACCGGAAAACATACAAATCTTCTCTTATGAATCCCTAATACTTCATCAAAATCTGGAAATCAGCAGGTCAAATTACAAAAAATCTAAACACTCCAAAACTCCCCATTATTTACAAAGGACCAGACAATGCAGTGGGGATCTATGTGTGGGTGGGGGAGGTAGGCGGTTTAACCCCAGGCCACAAAACAGGAACATCACGGTAAAATATGCCATATGCCTGCTACTCCCCCCCCCCCCCCTTGAAAGCTACCCCCCCCCCCCCCATGACTCGTTTCTCGGACTCGGACTTAGCGGACTCGATCTTGTGGACTCGAGACTTGGACTCGGGACTCGACCTGCGTGACTCGAGACTCGATCAAAATTACCACAAACCACTTATTTTCCAACAATATAATCAGATTTTGAAGACCATCTTTTCTTTTTCAAGCCATACAGTCAGTGCGGTGAAGAAGAAACGCGTAACTACTTTACATACACAGCGCGTGCGGCTCAAAATTATCCTTAAAGGTGACTTGTGACTCGGACTGGACCTTAGTGATTCTCGACTCGGACTCGTCCTGCATGACTCGGGAGAGGTGACTCAGACTTGGACCCGGACTCGATGTTTGGTAACTCGAAACTCCAATTTACATATATGAAAAGTGGTTGTAATTCGGTGAAAACGTTCAAGGCCATATTCTATGGAAAGCCGGAGACCAACAGCTTTCCTGTAAATGAATCGTTTTACATCGCCGTGTAATGGATGAATCAAATTACACAATACTAGGTATTTCAAAATATTTGTGACATTCTAAGAAAACAAGGAAATGTTTTTTTTTTTCATCTTTCCTCTTGCAAACATTTACATTACCCCGTTCTATTCGACATAGTGAATTAAAACAGGTTTTAGGGCTCAGTAATGGCGAACATGTTGAATATGTAGATTTATTCTTTTGAACAGTTTTTGAAATTCCACTATATCACAGTTTATTCAACGTCAAGATTTCAGTGTTCAACGAGTACATAATCAAATATTTAACCCAGTCAGACACTTGCATTGTTGCGAGTTGGACACATTTCAGAGATTAAAGAAAAATTATGTTTTTGGTATTAATAATGAGTAATCGTATCTCCGCCAACCTCTTCCCAACGGTAATTTGAGAAACAGGCATTCACGGGTGCAAAACCAGACTACGAACGTCTCGAGATCCGAGCATGCAGATTGTATGCAACGCCGGCGCTTCAGCCTATCGAAATCGTCTTCAGAAATTGTGACGTCATTTCGATCAGGAATGTGGGCTAAGCTGTTGATTTGTCCATTTGGCTGCCATTTTTTTGTAATATGACAATGGGTTACCGAAGACCCGACAGAAGGCGCCCGCTGAATGGTCAGAATCTCGAGGTCATGAAGCAGTCTTGTTTTGCATGATTAATCGCCGAATCTTCGCGAATACCATAGACCCTTGCTGTGCAAGGGGATACATGTATTCCACAGACTACAGTTCTGCAACATAATGACGGTGCACGGTCTCTTATAAGGCCGGGGGGGGGGGGGTTGATCAATTCATAAATTCATAAAGATCTCTTGGGGGGGGGGGAATTGTTAGAAGCATCCTCAATAACCGTAAAAATAAATTCAATACATTCACAGCATAACTTATATTTTAATTTACCAACATATCAAAATTATGTTTTTGAAAGGCATATAAATTATATAAAACTACAGTGAAAAAAATAATACAAATATATGTTTAAATCCCTCAACAATTATTTGGAATCAAGAGTGATGTGGCATTACAATTAGCTTTCAGTGTAATGACAGATGCGATTTCAAGCTTCATTCAATTTTTGGATGATGGGTAAAAAACTACTACTCCCCCTGAGCCAGAGGCCGATTCGCCCCAACAAGTTCAAAGTGTAACTAATATTTTAATTTACCAACAATCACAGTAATGTTTAAAAAGACATAAATAAAACTATAAAATAATACAAATACAAGTGCTAAATCCTTCAACAACAACTATCAGGAGCAAATGAAAATTCACGTTCATGTAAATTTTTGTCAGATGTTGCAATTTGCAACGGATGTCTTTCCTACGATGTGGACTTTCCTTTAAGAATAATTAATCACACACGGCAAAAATATAATACATGTACATGCATGGCAAAACACGAACTCATTTTGGTCACTGGTGATATTGCTCGAGCTTTCATGTAAACACAGTGACCCAGCGTGTGCGCATGATCCGTGTGCGCATGACAAGTGAACAGCCCACGACTAGATCTAGAAAACCTGAGTTTCCTTCACAAGTTTTAGCGAAACGGATTGGCGGTCAACAGCGCCCTCGGACGGGGACGGTGGGAGACGAGCGAACTGAAACTGTAGCACGAAATTTCTTCAAATTTCTTTTGCAAATAGCAAACCTATAGAGGGCGCTTTGGTGACCAACGAGTTAGGCCTGCACGAATACTTGTTCAGTCGGATACACATTTATGGAACAAAAATAATAGATACGCTGGCAGTATTAATACAAAGCGGTAATTTCAATACATTAAGACAAAGAGAAATGAACGGTTTCCGCAACGGTGATTTCAGCGGTTAAAACAAAGTAATTTCAAAAAGCATTAAAAACTGCAAACCAGTAAATAATTACAATAAATTAATGGCAAAAGAATGGTTTTCTCAATGCTGGTTGAAAAACGATTGGAAAAAACCTTAGATTGAACGAAATATAAGTGTGAAATTATAGTTGCATAATCATGAGCAATTCACATGAGGTCAAAACCTAAAATTAGATCCCCAAACTTCAATGGTGTGAATAACAATCAAATAAAGTCCCTACAAATAACATGAGGTCAAAAGCTTGTAATTATGGTCTAAAAACAGTAACCCAATCTTAATGAGATTCACGACTTGCGAGGAACTCATAGACACATTTAGGCGTACTAGATTGCAGATAAATCCACAGGAGTGGACAATATAAAAAGTATTTCCCTGGACCCTATTAAACAATATGAAACTATCCCCTGTCAGTTTCTAGTTGCATGGTGGTATGACCTCCGTGCCACTGCAGCCGGACTCGTCGGAGTTGTCTGCGCAGTCCATCACTCCGTCGCACCGCTGACATCCCAAGATGCACATGCCATTGTCGCACTGGAAGCTCTGAAGGGGCTCGCCGTTACTTGTCTTCTTCCCAAGGAAATCTTTCTCGCAGTTGACTGCAGAAGAAGCGGGAAATATACAGAAGAAAAAAACACAAGTTACATTATAACTCTCATATAGGAAACTCTGGAAGGGACTTTTGCTGACACAAAGCCTTGAAAACGCAAACACAGACACAGGGGCTTATTATTGAAATAAAGTTACTTCAATTCATAAAGATTCAGGAGCGGTTTTGCTTCATAGAGTGAAGTTGCTTAGTTTAACTTTCGTGCTTAACTTTTGTTAGGGGTTTATATCCCCACGATAACCGAAGTGGACTTGTCGGTTGCTTTTGAAAGCGAATGTTTGCATGTAAACCTACGACATAACTGCATGATGAGAATGATTCGGGTGACATCAAGTTAGTAGGCTATAAATGATAACTTTTAAACGCTGACACTTGACTTGGTTGTCGAAAGGGTCATGGCTGCACTTGTCAAGAGTTTTGAGAGAAATATATTCGAATGGAATTAGGATCGATAAATGAACCCCGTGTACTTGATGATGGATATAATGGCGGGAGTCTGATCTCACCTGTGTGTTCTGTTTGGCAGTGGTTCTCATCTGGGAAATCTGTGCAGTCCAGAATGGAGTCGCATTCATACCATTTGAAGTAGCATTCGTCGCCCGACTGGCACTGGAAGTAGGGAATGTTCCACTGTTGGAGCTGGGCACAAGTGGGTTTGGCTATTGTACAGAGGAGAAGAAGGGTATACACGCTCAGACAGGTACCAAAATGACGACAAAATGAGTTAAACTTCAGACAAAAAAGGATCCAGAGACTGTCAACATTTCAGTAACTTTTAGGAAATTAGTGAAAGCAATAAGCTAAGAAGTAACTTTATGGTCGGAAATAATGGCAACATGAATCCAGACATGAAATCTGCAACAAAATGAGGAGATCCCCCCCATACAGGACACAATGAGTTAAATAATAATCGGCAAAAGAGTAGTTCAAAACTTAACTAAAGGAAACGGGAGAAGAATTGAGCCCCCTACCCCCCTCCCCCCCAAAAAAAAAAGAATCAGAGGGCCTCCGAGAATGAGGAACTATTTTTTTTCGTATTAATTTTTTTCAATTCCATTCAATTCAGTTGACATTTATTTAGCACCGTAATAAACCAATACAACGTTGGATAATATAAGTATAATACAGTGATATATTTAAATAAACGAATACGAATATAAAGCTAATTACCACCAAAAAGATAACAAAAGAAATTGCAGCAACTGTTCGGTTAATTTATACTTACTCTGTGCACTGGTCGAAACGATCAGTGAGCAACAGATGAGTGCGATAACAGATGCGATTTCAAGCTTCATTTTTGAATGATGGGTAGAACTTCTTCCTGAAAGTACAAACAAAAATCAGATTAAACGTAAGTCTCCCATTACTACTCAACAACAAACGCGTGAAATCCAAAAGTTTCAACTTCGGTTAAACCTAAAACATCCCCGACGTATCACCAATGATGTGATAAATTTGTCATTTCAATCACATCTTATAGGAAACCTTTTACACTTTTATGCCATACATAGAAGTTCCCACGTTCAGCTTGGTTCAACAAAGATACATGTACACATCTTTCTATGATCGACAAATTTCAATGAAGAATAAAATTACTCCTGATATGGTGCACACACGAGCACTACAGGGTGAGTCATAAAAACCGGAAACCAAACCCCCAAAATTATGTTTCACATTTAAGATATATGTAGCACCACAAAATAATATGACTGGAAAGCCAATTTCGTAAGGTGCTTTTAGAGGAAAAAATGATTGAAATTGGTCAATCCGTTCAGAAAATATCACCATTTAAACACAATGACCCTAAAACCTGTTTCGTCCAATAAAAGAAAAAAAATGCGATTTCAAGAATCGTCGTCGCAATTGTCTCCACACATCACCAGCGATAAAATCTCAGTTTAAACGTTAAAATATCAACAGAATCCCTTTGAAGGCCCATCCTTTATAAAAAGTAGACTTTGTAAATCATATTGTTTGCCTAACCAGGGTTGTTTAGATATTGTGTACTGCAGTTGGTGACAGTTGTTAAAACAAGTATTTTGTGTCATTTTCTTTGTTGTTCCAAACAGTAAAACACACAATGAATTGCTTTTTTTGGACGAGACAGGTTTAAGGTCATTTTGTTTAATGGTGATCTTCTTTGAACGGATTGAAAAATATCCAGGAATTTTTCATCTAAAAGTATGAAATTGGCTTTCCAATCATTATTATTTTTGGTGCTACATATTTTTTAAATATAAACTATTTTTTATGGGGTTCGGGTTCCGCTTTTTTGACTCACCCTGTATAAGGACAGAAAATATTGTGGCTACATGATCGGCATCAAAGCAGGTATACTGAGGTTATTCTGTCAAAGCTGTCTATGCGAAAAAAATGTTATCGCACCGGAATGTTCAACTTTCGAGTCATGATTGCAAAACAGCTCCCCTCAACAGCATCTTGCTTATAACATATGACCCGGTCATTCATTACAGACCAAATTCCAGAGATGTTCGCTTCATATTACTCGCCATGACAACACACAAAAAAATTGCAATAAATTTAATGCTTCTTAAGAGGATCTACGGGATTAAGAAAGATTAAGCAGTGTTCATTTAATTAGATTATCAAAGGTGTTAAGTGGGGATTAGAACGGCAATATCCCATGAGTAATGCTATGATTATGTAAACATTACACGCCTTGTGTTGTATCGTTTCACTGAGTGGTTATTTGACGCATTCCCCTCGTACTGACGGGAACAATTAAAATATAAATGTAGCCTACACTGTCGTGGCCAGGAACATACATGTATTTATTCTATCGTTTCACTTTTTTCTGGGAAGTGCATTTCGATGGCATTAAAGGACACATTCGTCCAGAGATCACCAAGAATTTAGTTCCTTAAATTTTTAACTAACCATATTTCAAAAGCCTGATTCACAAGAAATCATCATCATAATGTCTTACATAATATGAAGAACATGGTGAAAAAAAACAATTCGTTACATCTGACGCGGCAACTTTTGGTATTTCCAGCGGCGCTTTATAGCCATGAGTTTGCCAGCTGCATTTGAATGCATAAAATTAACAAGTGTAGGCCTATGTGGCAATTTAAAATCAGGTCCAATAATTTTTAGCAACCTTGTCGAAAAGAAACCTGAGTGACTTCAGGAATCGAGACGATCAAGCACTCTAACAGCTCGATATCGAAGGTTGGAAGCAACATTTCGTTTTGCGAAAGTTCTCTAGAAAACCGCAAATCTTCAATGTGTAAAAGTGCATCATTTGAAATTAATATGCATTTATTATAAACACAAACGTCAACTGACAAGGTTCACTTTGAATCAATATCAGGTTGAACATAGAACCAGACGATCAAGTAATTGCGCACTTTATTTTCAAAAGTTGACTCTTAACTCGACAGCTATGTGTAGATCTTCGTTAATTAACATCTGTTATGATAAAGCCTATACACCCAGAAAAGTCAAACATGAAACGAGAGTATACTTCAGAGCGGTTATATTTCCTCTTACCTCACAAGAACAGGCGACGATCTTCTATCACTTCAGAGATATCGAGGTGTGATGTCTTTGCCGGTGTGCTGTTTCTGGCAATGTTTTCGGTATCGATGTCTGACGAGGTATGCCCTGGTGAGCGCTAGATGGCAGTATTTATAGAAAACTCCCGTACATGTCACACAATGTCAAACAAAAGACGGATGTCTATACTCGCCCATATGAACACCTGTTTTAGTCCTAAGCATTACCTCATTTCCGGTTCGCGAGAACTGGGATGCCTTATTTTGAAATGTCAATTATTTATGGGGTCAGCATGAATTTTCCCGATAAACAGTTTTGGACAATGGAGGAACGAGTGATAAATTCGTCATGATCAATTCAGGATATGAATAGTAAAACTGGACGTAATATTTCTGAGAACGGACAGTTGTTATTAAGAGAATTATAGCGAGTCAAGAATAATTTCACCCATATACTTCCCCATAGGCGTAGCCAGCGGGGGAGGGGGGGGGGGGAGTAAGGGGGAGGGGGTATTTACCCCCCCCCCAATATTTTGCCTTTTTCCATTCAAATTCCCTTTTTTTTCAGCGGGCTTCCCCCCCCCCCGCCAATAATTTGTAAAGAGTGCCCCCCCCCTTTTTTTTTAAGAAGTGCCTTCTTTTCTGAACAAGTGCCCTTTTTTGTGTCATTCGTCGTTTTGGGTGCCTTTTTCGGAATTTTGCATAAGTATCGCCCGAGAAAAGTACCATATATTGGCACCTTTGTGTGCATAATCGTCGGTTTTGTACAGCAACCCCATCGACAGATGGTACCAGCCCCCCCCCCCCCACCCCTCCCCCCCCCCCCCCCCCCCCGGCTTTTTGATTTTACGGAGGCCAAGTGTCCGGAGAAAAAAATCTGTCTACATTTCACCACGGATGTGCAAGTGCCCTTTTCAAAAATTTTTACCCCCCAATAAAAATGACCGTGCTACGCCACTGTTCCAAAAGGGAGTGCTGTGAGGCTAAACGCGTAGTTTTAGGCGTAAGTGTTGCATACGTTTACATTTGGAAATAAATCAGTATTTTGGCTGAAGTGAAAAAGGGGCGTGGAAATTCCATCTTTAAAGGTTTGAATTAGCGCGCCCTCTCTAATATAAAGAAATGACATTACTTTATCCATCACTCAAATCTCTAGCCTTGACCAAGGCTATCAGCTTGTTCTCATACGAGCTTGTTCCCGCTACCGCACACCGCGCGCGCCGCGACACAATCACTAGTTGTACTATACCGTTAGCCTCAACGACCCTTGCGTGTGCTTTGTGTGCATGTACTGTACGTACGCCCCACACACACTTCCGCAAACAGCCGTACAATACGTCGAAGCGCAAGATAGCCTTGACGCATCCGTGGCGAATTCCTTATGTGTTTCTTTATAGTTTCGACCGAAATCGGCCAAAAATTTCTGATGCGCATATATTACACGATATCCAATCAAAGCCCGTAAACTTTGACCTGCGACATACATATTCATGACCCACAAATTACTGTATACACCACGTACATGTACATGTACATGTACATGTATGTTCACTCAAACCATGGTATGTCCAGGTATTTCAATCCCATTTTAAATCATTTCTCCAGTTTTATTACAAACAAATGAAACATGCCGCTATATGAGTGAACAATTTGTTCAAAATGATACTATTTCCAATGTATTGCGAATTGGACAGTTCAAGACAGTCCGCCGACGTTTTGTCGGTGCAACAGCGTACATTATCACGCCGCTACCTGCCCGTGCTATTCTGACAGCGAATGTAGGGGACAGGTCAACTCGGACCCAGGTCAAATCATACCCATTTAATCGAATGCAGGTTAACTCGTATCTATAAGCACCCGTATGAATTAACTGCAAGAAACGAGCTATTGACTTTGGGATGGAAATATACGAAACTGTCAGGTACATGGTGAAAACAAAACTCTCCCTGAATACGTACCATGTGCAAATTACATCTCATACGTACGACACATGTATTTTAACGCGTACGTATGAATCGTATATGTCGTACCTATGACATACGTACGACATGTAAGTCGTAGATGTAAATCGCACAAGATACAAGTCGTTCTCACAAGATATGTTCCATGTATGACATAATCGACAAACAAGTCAAACATACGAGTTACAATTCATATTTTGTACACACGAGATATTAAGTCGTACTTATATACGACTTTGTCGTATGCGACAAAATTATATCGTACCCTGTCGACTCGACTTATGCACGACATATATGTTGTACCGGCACCTGTCGACATTTTGTCACATGTTTGATATGTCATACTCTGTCGACATATATGTCGTACCCTGTCGATGATATTAGTCGTACCCTGTCGAAATATGTCGTACCCTGTCGATATATTAGTCGTACATACGACATATAACTTATAAGTTGTTCATACAAGTTAAAATCAGTCTTACAGAATAAGTTTGCTGAAGGAGAGATATTTTTTTCCCATATCCCCTTGACAGCTTAGAAGAAATACCCTCCCCCCCCCAAAAAAAAGTCAGCGGTAGATATACTCAATAGTGTGAGCACTTTTTTTGCCGCTGAACGTGAAAGCGCAGCGTGTCTTACTGCATGGCGCCAGCCGGGCCGGTGCCTACAGTGGACGGCCCCAACGTGGCCTCTGTGCATGGTGACATCGTTTTTGCCGGCGTGCGGTTTTGTACCGTTTGCCGTTTTTCGAAGGTCTAATTTTTCATCCTTTTTCATTTCATTTTCGACCCAAACTATGTGTAACTTTATAAATATTATTCTACTATTATTTAAGATTTTAAGGGGGTGTTTACAATAATTATTGTTACCACCGGCCGTCTGGTTTATAAACCTTTGGTCTTATTATGTAATGCAATAAATATTCATTTTTTTGTCAGCCGTTATCCAATAAGAGAAGACTATTTACCATAGCGCGTACTAATTATCATATTCGGCATACACGGTTGCGTCACGGCTAATTTCCGCCTCGACTTACTGTACGGCTGTTTGCGGAAGTGTGTGTGGGGCGTAAGTACAACATGTACATGCACACAAAGCACACGCAAGGGTCGTTGGGGCTAACGGTATAGTACAACATTGTGTCGCTGCGCGCGCGGTGTGCGGTAGCGGGAACAAGCTCATATGGGAACAAGTGATAGCCTTGGTCAAGGCTAGGATCTCCAGAGATCAAGGACAGGGGTTAACTGACTCAACGGGTGTCCGGCCAAGCCAACTACGGGAAACCTGTGACTCTTTATAACGAGGAAACCATCCGCTCATCCGGTTTTTACGGTCTCACCATGGGCAATCGAGCACGTCACATGCTTAGTTATCCGCCGGTTAGCGGACACCAAACTGTCCAGTTTAACGGACACAAAACTGCAATAGTCAGGTTAGAAACAATTTTGCTAAGGCAGGACGGACCTTTCTAAAGGGAAAAGGAGCTGACCCATTAGAATCGGGCAAAGCTTCAAATGACACATGCTGCACGGTAAACGCGTATTACACGTGATGGATCTGATGGATTTGTACAATCGTGATTGTATGGGATTTGTATTAAGTTGTGGGAAAACAATTAAAACAATAGTGGTTGTGCGCCACCGTCTCGCATGCCTCCTACATCGGAATTGGTCTTCCAAGAAAGATCAGCACTGGCACCGGATATAACTGACACGGTTACACCTGTCTCCATATTTCGCGGGCAATATGAAGGATATAGCATGGTGAACGTTCCGGGTTATCTCCCATTGCCGTCATCAGTTGAATCACGCAGGTTTATATTTCCCGTCTTTATGAAGGAAGAACTGGTATGAAATAACGAAAGGACAGAAAAGATGAGGAATTCTTAATAACTCTATTAAACCCGGCTTTATCAATCTCTGTTCGGGAGTTTAAAGCAGCTACTTAAAAAAAATAATTACAAGTTTTTTTTTTCATTTTCAAACTACCCTATTCTCAGACTCATGATAATCAGTAGCGCTTGCAGATGGCATTTTTGGTGTGTATGCAGCGAAGCCGCTATTCCTCTACTTCCGGGGTTACCGGAAAGTCAAAGTTGGGCTAATTTAAAATACCTAATGAGACATCAATATTAAAACAAACACTTTTTTTTCAAAACGGTTCAAGGGATGAAGATGAACCCTTCTACAAACATGAAATTTTGTCCAAGCATTTGCTTTTTTCACGTTGTGTGCTAATGACGCGAAGAACTCAATGCAGCGGATGTGGAATGCCGCTGTACCGAACACCGCTATACCGAACGTTCGGCCAAACCGAACATCATCCCGGCTCCCGCTTCATGTACAAAACGTACTGAATACTTATTGACTATAATCAACAGATTAACCAAAACAACTACCGGTTATATTTTACTGTATTTGGGACATATTTCATTCCCTTATTTCATTAATGAACAGAAGGGAAAAGTCACCCGTTACTGAAATTGCATGACGACGCCGCGTGCGGCCGCGGGATGTGAGAAATGCCAGTTCATGGTCAAAAGAGGGCGCTGCTGATAAGTGAAAATTGTACCACCGTAGTAGGTGTTCTTTTTCCCATTCCTCTCCTTTTTTTTCTCCGTGATGTTTTAATTCATTGTGTCCATTTTACGATGTTCTCCATTCATAATGTTACTTTACACACTTTACAACCACAATTTGCATAAATAAACTTTATGAATAAAGTACTTTATAAACTTTGCAGCAATTTATTTCTTAAAACAAAATTAAGAAGTACATTTTAAGAAACATCATTTTGCACTTCGAAACGGCATACAAGGGGAAATAAATATACACTTAACAAATCCAGTCAAAAGAGGGCGCACTTCAAGTATGGAAAAAGAGGGCGCCATTTAAACGGACAGACGCCATACTGGTGGCTCAAAATCGCCATGGGTGCAACCCTGTATTAAAATGTCCATAGACGCCAGTGCTAATTGCCCATAGGCCTACTTCAAAATCCTTTCATAAATACTCAGACTCTCACAGTATTTAGGCTGTACAGAAAAAATGATGATCATGTCATCTTTCATTTTATTTTCATTTTTGGGTGGGTTGAGCATTGACTTTACGAGAAATTTTCACCCAAAGAAGAACGGAAAAGTAGCCATCTTGAAAAACGATCCCTCCACAACATGGCAAAATAGCTCCACTTTCGAGCCCAATTGCATCCAAAATAGTCAGAATTGGAAGCCCCAAGTCCGGGTCAGAGGTTCATTGCCATATCTCTTCAATTCCCCAACTGTATATGGCTCTCAGAACTCTCTAATATAGAATATTTTGAGGGTTGAACTTTTATTTATGAGCTCGGCGGATGGGTTTGGCCTATTTACCCGTGTGCACCCCTATGCCGAACGCAGAAAACCCCCAAACGATGGCTAGCCTTGACTGGCTGATTGCAAGCATACCTCACTAGTTTATCTATCATAATTATCTTAATACAGAAAATAAATACTTGGTGCATTCTTTCGTTAGCTCAGTGCAGAAATGAGTTATGTCTATGCATGCTGACAAAACGTCGTAAACAATTTCTTTTTTTGTTGTATAGACTCCAAGGACGTAAGAGGCTCCATCAAATCCGTGGTCCATCGAATCGGATGCGGATTCTATTTTGACTTACCAGACGTGTAGTACCCGGAAAGGCACTTCAAACAATTTACTTATCACGGATCAAGGAAACTATACACGAAACCCTTCTCCGCAGATGAGAACAAATATGTGACGTCGTGATGACCGTCATCGGTTTTCCAATTATAAGCAACTTCAGTTTAAACGCTGAAAAAAGCATTGAACAACAACTTTTGCATTGAATAGAGCTCCGTGTTCCTTTTTTTCTGGTATAGTATAAAAATTGTCTTGGGAAAACTTTTGATATCTTTACTTCCAGTATTACCGGAGGGGCAGTGAGAAATGAATTTTACTACAATTATAATAGGCCTACATGTAAATGTAAACGTTTAATACGGAAATGCCGAAACACAAAATACGGCATTATGACTTCATAACCTGAAAGGGCGCCCTCTAGCAGCATGTGAACGAAAGATGAGTTTTTTTCGATTCTAGATTTAAAAACCATTTGCTAAAATGTTATTGCGCCACCTACTGTTCACATGCAGGGATCCATAATTGCTCAATTATTTTACACTTGTGCTGAACAGTAACCCGGGGATCGTTGTTAAAGTTTATGAAATTAATGCGTTTCATCAGCCAAAAGTTGCCGCTCTTTGAACCTCATCATGATCACGTGAATATTGAGTTTCGATATTGAAGTCACCTGATGTGTGTCTTATCTAAATGAAATGTAGAGCCTGGGAAAACAATTTCGCGGGTGCGTTCGAGTAACTTCCTCGATGACTGAACATGGGCAAAGGCAGACGGGTTAGCCACACGAGAGTCGAGGCTTATAATCGAACGTTCGCTTGTACAATGGACCATGTGCGCAAGGGCTTTATCTGTGCCTGCATTGGACGATTTTTGGACTCTGCATGTGAACGGCAGGACGGGTGGCATGGCGGGTCATGGCTGCAAGGAGAGCCACATTTCTTCACTAAAGCGAGTCTAGGGGACACGGGGAGGGGCATGGAGACCAAAACTCCCCCGCAAAAAGGGGGAGGGTGCTACTTTTTTGTTTTTTGTTTTTGTTTTATATATAGTGAAGACGACCGATTTAAATCCACGTCGTCGTCTGCTCATTCCCCGTTTCCTTTCACGAATTGGTTAAATATTACTAAAAAGTAAAAGGTAAGGAAAAAAATGTCAAATAAAATTCATTGAGGTGGTCGCTCAATTCAACCCCCTAAATATATGATTTATATTCGGCGCGGCGGTGCATTTTTAACGAACAACACGGGGTATACCTAGGGTCGACCCAGGTGAGCTGCTCGAACGCACCCCATAAAACGTGACTGTGACTGTCGTGCCTATCAGCAAAGTCAAAGTCCTCTTTGAAGTGGTCTGGGTACACAAAGTAGAAGCAAGTATAAGGTTGCGATGGACTCCACGATAGCGTTTTTGATATTCAATCCCGCCCAGTGCTTCGTTTTTTTTCCTGACAGACTACTAACTTTTAGAAGGCAGTTTCTCGTAGCAGTGCGATATTTAAGGCAGTAAAGATGGACGTCAAATCGGTGTTGTTTCTGCTGCTGGTTGCAGTAGCATTGAGCCAGGCCCAGAAGCAATGTTGCTTCCCGGACCAATATGAAGCAACCGACGGTGAGTTTGGAACACTTAAAGCTGCGGCCAATTTCTGATGGTTATAAATGATTTCGCATAACAGAATAACGGAACAGAATTGCCCAAAATCCCCAGTAGGGTTTACAACAACTAACCTGAAGTTTCAGCTCAGTGTATTATAATACACATTTGAAAAAGAAAAACAACACCCGGAGCAGACGTGTGCATAATCTGTTGTTGGAATATCTGCACGGGGAACCGGTATTTGAAACCTGTCCTATTTGCAATAAGCAAAGTGTTATCGTTTAATTCGTACTATCGCTTTTCCGTGTAATTGCAAACGATCCAAGGTGGCATTAGGTATTTGCCCCGGATGAAGTTGTTTTTATGCCTGGACTTATTTCTTGAAGTAAATGAAATTCAGTTATTTCCCTTTGGCTTTGGATTTTTTAGGTCAGATTACCGGCTCGGTTCAGTCTGGGCAAGGTATGGTTCAGATAGCGTCGGCACAAATTGCCTTCGATTACACCAACAGGCGATTGGGTGAACTTGTAACAGTTCAAGGCAGTATGTATCAAGAGGTCTTCGATTACAACAAGGTAAAAGCTGGGACTTTTTCATGGACATCGGCAGGGGCGTAAATCCCAGGGCGGGGGGAGGGGGGGGGGGATGCGGGGTATATATCCCCGAAATTTTAGACCAGGGGGATTGGCAACCTCGTCCCCACTGCTTACTTTATTTCCAACCTCGTTTCCAATAGTAAGCCCTGGATAGCCTAACTTTCTTTCTGTATCCTGATTCGATACCGCAATTGGCTAGAAATGGATTTATATCGTTGACTTGGTGTGGTTGTTCACAAAGTGCAGTACGTGTTCTCGCGATCATTCGTTTGTGCCTTCTCTAAAATATTCATTTCCTTTCAAGTTTGTTAAAATAAATATGAAATTTGATGCTGCATGTTGTCACGTTCAGATCGTAACAGTTTAATTAGAATGAAATCGTGTTTTCGTAACTCACGCCATGCTCGCACATGCAAATAATCCAGTACCAGGGTGAGAGAGCAGGTAGTAATAGGCGCGTACTACTCGACACCCTCGGGACGAGGTTGGGTGATGGGCAATTAGATCACCCCCCCCCCCACTTTTTCTGGTAAGAAACCAAAAAGGTGGATTTGAGGTATATTTTGAACTTCCCAACAACCCAAAATGTGTTAAATGGTGCTTTATAGATGCGCCGTTCTGATGTAAGGTTAAGGGGTGTAAGTACATACATAAGATGTATCTGTATCACGAACATCGCCCCCTAGTGTCATGTGGTGTTCAGCAAGCCCCCCCCCCCCCACCCTCTCGCTTTTGGAATTTCCCCAGCCGGGCCATTTTTTTTTAGTTTAGTCACCCCTCTCCCCCCAGTCCCCGGCACAGATTTACGCCACTTGACATCGGGGAAGTTGCTATTAGTTTAACGTCTCATTCGTCATTTTGGGATTGGTCTTTTTAGGAAGTCAGGTTAGGCAGTGGTCATTTTCCTCGCCTTTCACCTCTATGACCCAGGTTCGATTCCTGCCCAGGTTCACAGGCGGATTGAGTTTTCAGTTTATACCTGATGTCGTGGGTTTTCATCAGGATATTCTTCCATATTAAATGTTGACCTATAGGTCAAAATTTAATATGGAAGAATATAGTGCCCAGGGTGCTAAAAATCCTGTACTTGGCGGTAGATCCAGAGCTACAATCCTGGCCAAATCTCGCTGGGCCCTAATCCCCCCCCCCCCCGGCGCCCGCTCAATGTTGGCTCTCATTGCGCGGTGTGTGCTCCATCAGCTAGAGTGAACAACATTGACCGGGGGAGCGGGGGAGTGAGTGACCGTGGCAGGCTGAGGTTATTTTCCAAGTGTCGATCCCAACCATATTTGCCGGGATTGTAGCTTCCACGACGAACGCCACCTGATGGCAAAGGATACAACCCAATTAAACTGGAGATTCCTCTCCATTTTTTTTTCACAGGGCGTCCTTTACGTCATCAATCTCACTATGAAGACATGCCAGAAAGTTCCACTACCGACAATGCAAATGCAGCATTGTGTCCCAAGTAAGTGATTTGCACACCCGAATATGTTGGGTGTTAACTTGTACGTGTGTAGACTGGTGACTTGTACGCTGTTGTCAAGTTTCTCATTTTTATTTTTTTAGTCTAACAACTATTCTTTATAAAGTTCTGTAAAACACTAGAAACTTTAAATTTAACCAGAAAATTAAACTCGCCTGCCAAATGAGCAATTATGTCATAAGAAAAAAATGACATGCAAATCTAAATTTCCACGATTTTGTGCGTAGAAATATCAAACGTAAATGAAGCCGGCATTTTGCTGAATAATTGCGTTTGGTGTATACTAGTAATGCCTCACTGCGACAAAACCTTTTATTAATTAACGACATCAGGAAACTGTACACATAATGACCTCATCAGAATACAGCATTGCCCGCGATTTTACAACCCTCTTTATTGGACATGTGCTTACACGTGACTAAGCGCACACCCTTTGCTCATGACCTTGCTGTCCTATATTGGTTTTTAAAATAGAGCTTTATTAAATATAATACAGCTATATAATAGAGCTATATTAAATAAAGTAGAGCTATATTACATATAATAGAGCTATATTATATATAATACAGCTGTATATAGTTTAATAAAGCTCCATGGCAGCGGCGGCGGAACAATTTTCAAACGGGGGGAGGGCAATCACCAAAAAGGGGCACTTGCTAAAAAAAAAGGCACCTTCCTTCTGTTGTGAAAGAGGAGAAAATTGTCAAACTATATCCGTTCACATTGCAAGGAATACATGTTACCCGGAACAAAATTTACTAACAGTGATATACACTTTGAAACATGTTTGCGTTAACAATTTAAAAAATCTTAATTCCCTTACTCAAAAAATGGCAGACCAGGCCTATTCCTGAAATAGTCTCCATAACGCCGTGTTGTTCTCAAATATATTTTTTTCCACCGAGAGAGCCCTCCGGCCTCCAGCACATCCCCGGCAGTACCTTTCTGGGTCCGCCCTTGAATTTGACCAGTTAGGCCTATGCAAAGGGGCATTTTTTTTGTCGTGAGAGGGCACTGTTGCTCTTGATGGCCAGTTCAGTGACCATTTTATTCGCGTGAAGAGCACTATTATTTTTTTTACAGGCCAGTTTTCCATCTTGAGAAGAGGCACTGTGTTAATGTTGCGAGCGGGGCACTATTTTGCTTTCGAGGGGCAGTTTTCCATCTCGATAAGTTATCGCGAGGAGCACTATTGTTTTTGATGGCCAATTTTCCATCTCGAGAGGGGCACAATTTTATTATTGCGAGAGGGGTATTTGTGCTTGCGAGGGGTAGTTTTCCATCTCAAGAAGTTGCACAATCTTGTTAATGCGCGAGGGCTATATGAGTTTTTGAGTGGCAGTTTTGCATTACAAGAATGGAGTAAATGTGTAAGCGCAATCATCATGCTTTCATGTGTGCGTTTGAGGGGCAGTTTTTTTCATCTCGAGGGGGCACATTTATGAATGCGAGAGGGGCACTTTTGTTGGCCTGGGAAAATCTGGGGGTCTATGGTTTTTAACCGTCTGTATGTTCCTGCAGGTAACGCCACATACGGAGGTTCTTTCTATGCTGGAGATCACAAGTTGAATGCAGACACGTTCAGCTACTCCATTAATGATGGATCTAACGTGGGCAACGTGACCCTGTCTGTCACCAAGGATAACTGCATTCCATTCAGTGAAACGTTTATCGGATCGTCAGGGGGAAGTATGTAATCCAACATTGACAGTCACTGTTTAATAGACCGTTCCCTTTAGCCCCACCTTCGTGGGAAACAACACGTTCGCATCTCCAATATTAAACTAGATGCATGCTGCAGACGCGCGCGTCATACGTACGTGCAATCATGTCGGCCTTCTGCGATCTGGTTGGTCAAACCACGACGTGGCTGTAAAAAGTTCTGCGTCGAAAGACGCTACAAATTTCGACAAGAAACAGATTATTTAAACAATATCAATATCAATTATTAAAACAATATCAATAGAAATAGTGAAAAACAAAAAAACCACAAAAAGAACAACGTGGACAAGATTCGGACGATTGTTTAGTTAATAAACAAAAAGGTGACATTAAACTCACCACCAGGGCCCTATTTCATGGCGCTGCTTAACAGTTAGCAGAAAAGTTGTGCTATAGCAGAACATTGTGCTAACCTTAAGCACTATTGCACGACGTCGGTGTGCTATAAAATACGCGCGCATGGAGTTATTTCAAAGAAGTTAAGCAAATGTTTCCTCTGAGGTAAGCGTGCCTTTAGCTGTGCTTACTGCTTACGGCCTCCATTGGAAATAGACGGAGCCTCATAAAATCGTGTGATCAGCAGATCAGAGCCTTAAAATTTGCCCTGATCTTGATGGGCTTAGCTTGTCTTTATTTGATTCATAGATTTGCTTTCTGACTGTACCTGCTGTCAAAAATTTAATGAAATCCAAATTGAGTGATTTCTTGCTTTATCCACCCATCTTTGTTTCTATAGATCAAATGCTCACCGTGGCGGGATTCGTCAACTATACCCCAGGGATCCAGGACCCCTCTAAGTACTTCACTATCCCCAACTATTGCCCAGCGGTAAGTTCGCCGATGTGCCGTTACTGTAGCTTAATTGTTTTAATCTTGCTAATGGGCTATTTGCGAGAATTATTATTATTATTTAAACAAAAAAGGCCATGTTAAAGGGAATATACAACATTTGCAAACATCGAAAAAAACAAAACTATCAAATATTTACGAAATACTAGGATTTTGATAAATGACAGTCTAAATCATCCTGTAAAATTATGGCACCTGGTGTGAAGTCATTTTCAAGAAAAGTGGTATTTTGTATAAATTTCCAACAATGGTCGGCCGACCACCGTTGGAAAAACCTAACTATTTTTTAACTAGTGCTCCAAATTTACCATTTTTTCAGTCCAAATTTTGTTTGCTATTGGTTACACGTCATGAACGGGTGCAGACCAGCTAGACTAGTTCCCTTACCTTACAATTTTCCGGCATCTATATAAATTGATCCATTTCATCTTTAGTGGAGTCAGGGAACCAGACTACTTGAACACTTTTGTTTTGCTTGTTTTTTTCCAGCATTTTTGAACACAAAACTTCAAACATGTCAGTGAAACAATATTTGATATATTATACTAACCCCTCAAATAGTTCATTTTTGAAAAATACAGCAAAAGCCAATGACGTACATTCCCTTTAATTATTTCCAAGCGCTGTTCAAGCATTTTAATAAAAATAAACCCTAACTTAATTTAGGGTAATTAATTACATGTGAAAAATTCGAAATGAAAGATAAAAACTCACTTGATTTAAATGAAAAAAAAAAGAGTTAAAAAGATTAGTCTTAAGACCGGAGACAAAAATCTCAAAGGTATCCAGTAAGTAGCAGTTAGCTGTATTGCTAACAGACTATAGATTAACTGCCCCAAAGGCTTTAGAATACACAATAAATTTTGCCCAGTGGATCGAAAAAAAGAAAAAGATTATTCAGATAATCTGGTGCCATAACCTTTAAAATCTTTAAAATGACATAAAGAATCTTAAAGTCAAAATGTTTCTTGTACCGGAAGCCAATGGAAACCTTCCAAACTTTAATTACCATCAAGGGAGTAGGCCCCGGGGCTGGCGGATTTTGTTGAACGAATTTTTTTTTCAGCAACTATTTTCATAAATGCTAATAGAGTTCCGACATTGAAAAAGAAAAGAAAACCTGCTCCAAAGCCATAACAATGCGCCGTGAATATCGGCATTCATTTTCAAGGATGCAAAATAATGGTCAGTTGTGAAGAGCCCCCATTCGGAGATGGGTACCAGTCCCCCCCCCCCCCCCATCCCCCTGCTTTTTCATTTAATGAGAACCAATATCCGTTCAATATGTAACCGTGTTTTTCTCATGTGTCCGTTGAACTAGTAATCGGTGTTTTTTTTATCAACTTTGAGTCATTATGATCACTGAAAAATATAATGTTGTTCCTCACATTCCTTTTGCATGCTCAACAGTTCCTCACTCCGGAACCAAAAGAGGGCCTGGGACCTGCCTTCACCATGAAGTTTCCACTGTGAGTGCGCCCTCAACGGCCATACTTGGACTGAAACCGATCTATCGCCTGAGTGTACGTCTAGAATAATTTTGAAATCAATTTTATTTAGCTAGTAAAATGCTTTTCGACAGTGAAGATTCAAAATCCGTATTTGAATTTTGAATGACTTTTAAAAAATATTGATTTTGCCTGTTTGCAACTTTGCACATCCAATTTTGTTTGATGAAATAATTCATTGTATAATTTCAAACATTAACGAGCTATCCGATCTGGATGAATTCGATGTCCTGGCTCGGATTGGTTTCCTTTTTTTTCTTCGAAAGTATCTACTTGAATTATATAAAATAAAGATATTACCACAACTGACTCAAGATCCTGTTGATGTATTATTAGTTACGTCTATATATCATGCCACACCAAGTCATGTAAGTTCGTGAGGCCAACTCTAGTCAGGAAAAAGACAAATACCGCTCTTTAATTGTCCCAACTTTTATCAGTGAAATGTTTTCGCTTCTTTACGAAAAGCCTGAGGGAGACATGACAAACAAATACAAGTTTGGTTGGCTTTTGATATAAACGACAATCGTGACGTCACAGCTTACATTGTTTACATTGTTTAAGGATGTGAAAACGTTCCTGGAAATACTTAAATCCTTGTGGAGAAATCAAGACGAATGTAGCAACAACTGAGCAGACGATGTTCAATTATTACAAAACCTGATATATTACTGCAGATAATGCATGTTTCTTAATCCTGCAGAAAAGTTGCTTAATAGGACCAAAACATCTAGTTTCAAAATCGAGTTGATTTTTTTTATATGGTTGCTTTTTCTATTAAAATCATGTCGCAGTTAGCTAGGTTTTGTTATCTAATCGTGGAATAATTCAATTTATAAAGCACACCACATATCTAGTGCAAGTTGTAATTGAGATTAAATAAAATACGATACCAGGTGAAAAGCAGTAACATGGTTTTCCCGTCGAATGTGTTTAGCGTGTTTGTTATAAATCAACCCAGCCCGGTGTAGACCATTAAAAAGGCCCCAAATTGCAACGCCGGCCAAAGCATGATCTTTCACCGTCCATTTCTCTCTTAAATAGAGAGTTTTGACCCCTGCACTTGAGATTTTGTAGCAAGCGAAGAGAGCTCAGCTCCAAACCAGTCTTCGAACTAGCATTATCCGACATATTTTGAATGAAGGTGGACCTAAAAGTCGATCTTTGTTTCATAGTAGTAGAGGAGTCATCCTTCACAATGGCGATGGGCTTCAGGACTAACTTGAAGGGGTAATCCTGATTTGTGTGAAAAAAAAATCACCCAAAATTTGTCTTAAACATGAACAGAGAGTAAAAGAGGACAAATCAAGATTTAATTCGATGTATGCCTCGAACATCACCTGTGAGAGTTTTGAGTATTTCCCCAAATTTGTATTTACTGGTCTGCACCTCTTGGGCGCACACCGCCCTGTCTTCCCGGTTCCCCCCCCCCCTACCCGAGCATGGAACCTGTATAATTATCACGTGAGCGAGGCGAGATCAATCTAATGGAGTGGCACTTTTGTGATGGTCATGCCAAGATATTGTTTTGGAGGGCGCTGTTCTTGCTGCTGCGACTAGTTTTTGCTCCTGGTTTTTTGTTCTGATGTAACATGCTCACATCATGGATCGACACGTTAAGATTTGTGGTTTTACAAAATAATACATGTACGGTTTTTATTATTATTATCAAGACATTGAAGTAGCATTCAGGGGCGGCGGAAAAAAAATGACCGTTTTTCAGAAGTGAATGAACATTTCAGGAAATTGGCCGGGAAAACCTATAGTTGAAAAGATCGTCAATAAAATAGAGTACAAGAGAAGAACAACTTCAAAAACTCACGGTATGTGTGTGTAATTAATGCAAAAATGAATTTCGGGCTTCATTCTGGTCCTCCAAAATGAAGCATTGTAATTCGTCATTCCAATCGCACATGAGTACATTTAAAGGTAACTGCCAAAATGGTCAGAAATGTCCTGATTGATTGTAAGTAAATAACAGGATCAAACATTCAGATTGAGTTTCCAAATCCGTTTTGGTATGTTTTTTGAAATTCTGAAAAGAAGCTTGCCTTGGTTTTTTTTTCAGAGCCTCACAAACTCACAAAAGATTCGTTAATACATTGGAACGTCGCTATAACGAATATCGTGGGATCCACAGAAATTGTTCGTAATAGCAATCGTTCGGTATAGCGATTTTCACACATACGTGGCGCCCCCTTTTACTTACTGTTATTGTGTACTTGCATTTACAAACCACGCGCGGAGTCGCCAAACTTGTCCATTAATATTTTTTTAATTCCGTAGCAGAACTTCACCAAGTACGCCCTGGTAGTTACTGAAAGACTTCGAACACGTGCAACTATTGAATCATGCAATTACACAGTTTTCAATAATAGCCATTTGTCGCTCTTCTGTTGACATTTCCAACAACAATGTTCGGTACGTTTTGTACACAAAAATTGGGAGCCAAGGCTGATGTTCGTGCCATATTTTCAATGGGGAGCGCTGATAAAACCCTACAATCAGGCACACTATATTAATGAAAGTGTACAAAATATGAACCATTCTCACGACTGTATTTAGGGGAGACCGTTCGCACGTACGTCACATTTTTACATTTTGCTTGTACAATTTTTGTATGGAATTTTTTGGGGGGTGGCTAGACAAAAATTTGCCCCCCCCCCCGTAGAACCGCCACTTGCTGATCGAGATCCAGAACCAAAATAATCCAGAGGGAACCCGCTGACCGGCCGGATGTTGCAAACTTCAAATGGGGGGACCTCATTTGACGCTTTAATGGGCGCTCTTCCCCCTTTTCTTAATCTTTTGTCTCTGACAACATCCAAGCTATTACTAAGAAGCATAACACTATGGCACTGACACTCCTGCGTTTGTGAGGCGGCAATAACTTTCTTGTTTTCACATGAGAATGGGAAAGACATAATTACTTGGTAGTGTCCAGTACGTTTTGTGTTTCTGGTATTTGTTTACGTTTGGTTGTTCATCGGTGGTTTCTTGCCAGCCTTTTTCAGTGTGCAGTTCTACAATAAATGACGGGGCACGGTCTCCATAAAGCCACGGAGACTTCCCGGACCCCTAGGTTTTTTTTAATTTTTTTTTTTTTTTTATAATTCAGTAGTTTTTATGGAATGATTACAAGACGCAATATGATCTTGGATTCTTTCCCTTCAATAAAAATTATCTATAAGACCGAAAAACAATAGTGGAAGGAAAAGGCTACATCTGTGGATTCCAACCAGGTATTTACCGAGCCTTAGCATAGGCTACTGTGGCAACATGGCATTTCCTCTTTAAAATGATATAATGTATTGCCCATATTCTATATCAATGGTCACTTTCTTTTTCATGAATAAACATAAATATATCCTTCGAAACTACTGAATCATCCATGAATTGCCTTACCCGCCTACGGAATATGTTCACGTCGTTCTCCCCGTATTCTCAGAATTTAAAAAGACAAACGCCATTTTTTTCGGTTGATGGGAAAGGATTGGATCTGTTATTTTTGTAAGTGAGGGCAGTGTTATAAGTAACCACAATAAAAAAATACTTCAAGAAATTGACAGTGTAACTAATGTTCTGATTTACCAACACATAGACGTGTTTATTGAAGGCATCAATAAATCCTAAAACTGAAATGCTATATCCCTTCAACAATTATCATGAGGGGTAAAATAAAATCCTTATGTTCATTTAAATTTTGTCAGATGTTGCAATAGACCTTTCTACGCTTGGTTGGCAAACTGCATTTTTGCCAACCCAGGTTGCAAAACTATGGAAGGTCCAACAACTGCAAAAGTGAAGAAGAGTTATTACAGATCACCAAAATATTATTTGATTGTTGGAAATACAATATTGTCAACAACGCTACAACATAATTCCTAAACATGTTTTTTACTTTGTATTGAGGGCGTTATGGGGACTTTTTTGGGAAAAACATGTTGCCAACCACGGCTTCAAATAATGCGCTTGCGGCAGCCCATATAAAATGGCGCCCATGTTTACAACAAAAGAATTCGTCTATAGTCAGATGGCATATGGTCGGAATCGTGACCGACTGGTCCAAAGCGCCCAACTTTAAAGATGGATTCTTATAGCCCTAGAGAAGACATTTAGAATGGGTGACACCTGAAATTCTTTTGGGAAGGGTGCCTAATTTGCATAAGTCGTTAATACCTGCGTGTAAAATGTTTTTCCCATATTTGAGTATATCTTTATTTCTTCTTCTTTTTTTTTTTGAAAAGTGTATTTTGGGGATGTTGCAATCTTAATCTAGTCCAAATCTGATTCGAGTTGTTGCACCTCAAAACTTTAGGCATACAAGATTATACCGATAAACGCTCATCACGCATGGACAACATACATTTATTTCCCCGGATATTGTTAAACCAGCAACTATCTCCTGTCACTCTCTATTGGCATGGTGGTATGACCTCCGTGCCATTGCAGCCGGACTCGTCGGAGTTGTCTGCGCAGTCCATCACTCCGTCGCACCGCTGACATCCCAAGATGCACATGCCATTGTCGCACTGGAAGCTCTGAAGGGGCTTGCCGTCACTTGCCATCTTATCTTGGAAATCTAGCTCGCAATCGACTGCAAGAAGAAACGGGAAATATCTAAAGAAATAACTCGAGTGACATCAAACAGTCCATGAATTTCAATCGCTGACACTTGACTTAGCTGACAACTGATTCACAGCTGTTGAAACGTGCTTGAGTTTTGAGTGCATACAGAGTTGCATCTTACCAGCGCGTTTTTCTTCGCATTGGTCCTCATCTGAGTTATCCCGGCAGTCCGGCACGTAGTCGCATTCATAGTAATCCATCCAGCATTCGTTCCCAGTCCGACACTGAAAGTACGGAATCTTGTACTTTTGGAACATGGCACAAGAGACTATTCACACAGAGAGGAAGAAGAAGGGTAAAGACTCAATAAGGAACAAAATGGTGACAGACTGCCTTTAACAAAGATTCTGCTGGGATCAAAACTTTATAGTAATAATAATAACTAGATGTGGTTGTAACCGAACAACCACAGAGCTGTTCCCAACATATTTTTGATATCCTATTATTTGATTGGACTGTAGAAAATAACTGAATATTTTTTTAAAACCGGAAGTAAGGGTCATATACTTTGACATACACTTGGTAAATAAATAGACACTTCCGTGTCTATTTATTTACCAAGTTTGAGATCAATTGGTCCAATAGTTTTATAGTGATAAGACTATAAAGATTGCCTCATTAAATATTCATGACGTCATAACACGAGAACGATAAATTTCACATTGATAAGAATGCAATATGTTTATCTGGTTATGTTGTTCAGTGCTAATTAACAATTGTTGACTGCTGTGATGTGGGATATGCGCTTTAAACACCCGAGGGGCACATAGCACCCGGTGCAAATACCCGAAGGGGAGAATATCACCCGAGGAGAAGCCGAATACCCGAAGGTGGGAATATCACCCTCCGCTTTGTCTCGGGTGCTATATGCGCCCCTCGGGTGTTCAAAACATATCTCACATCACAGCAGTCAACAACTGTTTTGTACACCGTCTTTGATTCGTTGGATTGTGGTGTAAAAACCACGAAAACAAACAGCAGTAAACACAACAATCATGACAATCGAATGGCAACTCATATGCATGTTGCGTGCTGATCGTCTGCTAGTTCGCTGCTCCTACTCGTGTGTGAAAGCATACGGTGATAATAGCGTGGGTACCAACGATACAAGCGTTTCACACCGTGCGTACACCGTGCGTACACCGTGCGTACATGGCACCCTCCCTGCAGGATATCACGTACGTGATATCCCACAGGGAGTGTGCCGTGACTGGTTATAAACTTAAGTAACACGTGATTGTTCTAGGCCAATGAAAATACAGCATTCGGTATTGGGAACAGCTAATAATAAATAATGATAATAGTTTTTTTTTATAGCGCTTCATACCAAAGGTCTTAAGGCTCGTCACAATAATTATTAGCACTATTCATCAGGCCACGAGACCTGTTTTTTTTTTCAGCAGCTCGAGATCAGCGCATTCTGGTCTCTACCTTCACAGTAACCCATAAATACTCTTTGGTGAAGAGAAACAATTGTAGTAAAGTGGCTTGCCCAAGAACAAAGTACTATGTTCCACTTTAGGATTCGAACCCACGTACCACGTGAGTCAAAACCTATTTCCATTGGACAACAGCGCTCTAAACTTTGGCCTTGTTATGTTTGTTGATTTGTACTTTTTCGGTTCAATGCAGTCAGCAAGCAGCTTGCAGCAGTTTTACTCATTTTAATGAAGCGACAGGATGACTTAAATTCCAAAAGGGTCCCCACACTGTGTAAAAAATTCTGTTAGGAAAATAGCGACAGATAAGGCGTAAAACTTAAGTGAGGAAAATGACAACATGAGTGACTGTAGCTTATAGAAGATGTACCCATAGAAAAGCCGTAATTTCAGTCGGAAAATGGCGACATGAATCCGCACATGAAATCGGCAACAACATGAGGAGAACCCCGGGCAGGACACAATGAGTACAATAATAATTAGCGAAAGATAGTTCAAAACTCAACTAAAGGAAACGGTAGAAGAATTGAACACCCCCCCCCCCAAAAAAAAAAAAAAAAAGATGAAGAAGAAGAAGAATCAGAGGGCCTCGGAGAATGAGGAACACTTTTGTTATTAAATTATAAAGTTTGCGGGTAACACCATGTAGAAAGAGATCTCTTCTTGGAAGAAGTGTAGTTCTGAAAAGAACCGGTCAGTGTGCTCTGTCCGCCCTCGGTAGGTTTTGTACTTATCATGGAAAGATTTGGTTGATACTTACTCTGTGCACTGGTCGAAACAATCAGCGAGAAACAGATGATTGCGATAACAGATGCAATTTCAAGCTTCATTTTTGGATGATGGGTAGAAAACTTTCTCCTGAAAGTATATTAAACAAATCAGATTAAATGTAAATCCCATCACAATACTCAATAACAATTGCGTGAAGTCCACAATTGCAAAATTGGAATGTTTTGCCTTACATTTTTTTGCGACGTATCACTAATGATGTGACAAAGTTGTCAGTTCAATCGTATCTTTTGGAATACCAATTACACTTTAATACCGTACACATAAGTTTTACACGTTCAGTAGGATTCCACAAAGATATATGTACACATCTAAATTTCTCTATTTGTCAGCGACACCACGAAGTAACACCCATGTACATACCAGTGAAAACTAGCAATCGGAGAAAATAGCATCCAAAGTTGAACGCCTTCCAGAACAACACTTTGCGTCAAAACGGCAGAGTATTTTCAGTTGGGTTTCTCGTTGTGGACACTTGATGAATTGAAATCATTAAATCGGCTGTTTTTCACCCATTTGTGTATTAAATCAACGAGAAATAAGACAGCAAAAGCTGAGAAACGAAAATTTTCGTTTGCACGAAGTAACACTCTTCAATGTATACAAAACGAGGAAAGTGCAACTTCAGGTCAGCGCGCGCGCTCATACAAGGAGGGTGTTAGTTCGTGAAAACGTTTTTTTGCTCACATTTGAGCAGAGCGCGCGCCATGCATTGCAATGGTAAATGGAACTTGAGTGTGTGTTACTTCGTAAAAACGAAAATCGTCACTTTTGCGCAAAAGTTGCCATGGATAATTAGCGTAATTATTAAAGTGAACCTCTTGAAGCTTTGAAACTTCGTAAAATGGTGGGCCTTGATGAATAATGTTTGAACATGTTAAAAAAAAATTGAAAATCGAAGAAGAAAAAAACAGGTTTAACACGGTGGAGTGTTACTTCGTGGTGTCGGTGACGAATTGTATCTCATCTGAATGTTCAATTTTTGAGTCATGATGACAAAATAGCTCTTTGTTTCTCGAAACATCTTGTTCATAGTAACATTAGGTCCTGTATTACATTACCTACCAAATTCCAAAGACAAAATATGTCATTACTCTCCTTAACAAGACAAACAAATTTGAAATAAATATAATGCTGCTTCAAATGATCAACGCGCGGGACTGACAAAGATTAAGCAGTGGTCTATTAATTAAATTCTAAAAGTTGCATCGGAATTCAAATTGCACCTGGGCCAATATGTGGATTGGGTTTTCAGTCCCCTGCCTGATTTCGTAGGTTTCCCCCGAAATATTCGTCTGGGCTTTTCCTCCCACCTGTAAAACTGTAACTTCTTCTCATCGTCTCCTCTCTACAGGTTTCTTGAGGAATGCAAGCGACAGTGCCTTGTACCCAACGCTTTTAAAATTTATCCAAATTTTAACCAGGGTTTGGTAAAAATTTAACCAACTGTTGTTTACCCGGTGAACAGCACAACAAATACCCAACGTTTGACGAAATGTGCCCGTTGGGTAAAAGTTGGGCAAAACTGGCAAATTTTACACAGTGTTGGTTCAACTTTTAACCAACTGTTTTAACCAACCACATTTTAACAACGTTTTGAGAGTGCACTGCAGTCTTCAAATTCTCTTCAATGTGTGCACTGCAGTCTTCAAGAACCCGTACTCCGATAACCGTCATCTTTCACAGGTTACGATGCACATTTGATTATGCAAGGCATTTCTACTCACGACGGCAAAATGACGTGCATTGCTAAACATTCCGAAAAGTGCATCTCATTTGACAATCAGAAGACGGATCTTCTTATATGCAAAAAAAGGACACTAATCGGTACTCGTTTCAATAATTTAATCAAACCCGCTCACCGCCGAGAAGCCAATTTTACAGCAGTCTCAAAAAACGAACACATCTCAACAGAAGATGACGTCAGAGCGCAACGAGCGTGGCAGAACGTGAACGTTAAAACCTTGGGTGAATATCGTGACTTCTAAGTGACTACGAAGACGCTATGCTCCCGGCGTGTTTGAGAATTCCAGGCGAGTGTGTAAAGTCAAGTGGGCCTATATGTTAGATCCAATTAATTATCACACAACACCCGGGTTATTGTGTGACGCTCTGTTAAAACACTCTCAAATCGAATTGGAGCTGTTGCCAGAAGTAGACAAACATGTATTTTTCGGGGAGCACCCCGAAAAATACATGCCAGAGGAATATGTGTCTGTGTATCAACGAATGTTATTGTCGATCGAGCCGAACCAAAATTGTCCGGTACACTAAACCCTGAACGCAAATAATGTATTACATTACATCGCGCCACAGATGTATCCGGAGCTTGGGTTAAAACTCGAAAAAGTACATTGCGCTCTATAATTTACGCAGAAACCTTGGGTGAAGTCGTACATGGACAAAAACACTCGACTCAGAAAAAAAAAAGTTAGACATTGAAAAATATATATATTTTTTATATGATGAACCACTCAGTATTTAGCAAGACAATGGAGACGTGAGAAATAGACTAAATACAGTTCTACTCAGAGACGAACAAGAGAAAAAATACAAAATTGTGTCTACACCAAATTATAAATCGACCACCGCATTGTAAATTATCATTTTTTTTCCTCAAATGTACGAAAACTAAAGCGCTGTTAAACAACTCTCACGTACGACTTTTACTACAATCAAATAAAAACGATGTGCGGATAGAGTTAGAATAATGTACACCGACACAGATTCTTAATCATTAAAAAACAGATGTACACGAAGATACGAAAGCAATTCGACTTGTACGATTTCTAAAACTCTTGATTTCTACAAATCAGAGTTGTAGTGACTCGAGTCAATGAAACGACTCGAGTCCGATCGAGTAACAATTGTTTATGACTTGACTCAACTCGAGTCCATATGGGTAAATGACTCGACTCGACTCGAGTCAATGTGAGCAAATGACGCGACTCGACTCGAGTCTCTCATCAGAAAACTCGACTTGACTCGAGCGAAGGCTAATTAGACTCGAGTCCCACAAATAAAAGCAAAACTTTGCAAAAATATTTGCAATGACTTACGGCGCAACATTTATGTTCACGCCGCTTTGCGATTACAGTACGGTACAGCGGCCGCTTGTCGTGTACAGAACATACGCACAACGTGTCACAGACTCCCACCTTGTGGTTATGGAACGCACAAAATACTATCAAGGAACCGCACTATAAAATGCATTTTCCGATTCGTGGTTTCATCATTGGCTTTGGGCGATTTCTTATAAGGTCTTTGATTCGAACGCCGGCTAAAGTTATTTCCTCCTTTTAAAATTTATAGAGATACAACCCTATTTTAGCGAAAACAATTCTAGACCCGAAGCCATACCAGATAGCTATCAGACCGAAATTTCATTTCTGGTTAATAACTGTAAGTGATACAAATTACTTTTTACTTTACTAAATTATTTTTTTAATCACAAAGGTTCTGGTGATCTTGTCACATCAATCTAATTCTTCTCGCTTGAATAATCCCAACAACTCAGTATTCAATTGATTTGATTTGACCCATATAGTGACGGCAACGATCTAGTCTGGGCAGATTAGGAGCGTATTTTATGTACTGAAGTTTGGCTTGATAACAAAGATCATTATATCATTGTTCCCAATGGAGTTAATCTTTTACAAATTTCTCGTCGATAAAATGTTTTTTTGTCGTATAAACCACATCGCAAGTCGCACTTTTTACAATCTTAAAACACACTTTTTTTGTTTACTATCGCGACGGGTTTGCAATCTCTGCGTTCTCTACCGTGTATACCCGGGTTAGGCAGACGTATCGTGACGTAATCAATGCAAAGAGTTACAGTCTTAGGTCTCTCGCCGACCGACTTTGAACTCGAGTATCGACATTTGGTTTTTGACATCTCGTGCATTCTTTGTCTCTTCCATTTCAATTATATAAACATAAAATATTTTATTTATTTTTAAAAAGTTTTTTTCACGACCAAATTATTCTTCTTAATAGACCAGGTTTTTAGAGAATTTGTAGAGAGAGGGGTCGCAGAGACATTATAAAAAAAATAGAATTAATTTTAACACTTTAATTTAAAAAAAAATAAAAATAAGAAAGAGAGCATAATTTTAGGGGAAGGGGAGAGAAAAAAAAATGAGAGAAGACGGATTGAGTAGAATGAGGTGGACAGGGAAAAAATGGCCGTGGTTCAGAACCATCACTTTCCCGCTACTTACATCATAATGTCTTACACAAGAATAAGAACATGTTGAAAACCATGTTCGTTTATATCTGACGCGGCAGGTTTAACATTGTCAAACACAGTTGGGTAATAAACTGTTGGGACATTTTATTTGCCCAACCTCGGTATGAATTGCCTCATTATAGGTTAATCCCGGTAACAATTGACCAACTATTCGGGAAAAAAATTGCTCAAGAGTGTAGGTGGTTTGTATGTTGACCAACATTGGTCTGCATGCGCCTACTTTACCATTTGCCTAACTTTTTAGTTAGCGTAGCATTTCCAGCAGCGCTTTATAGCCATCAAATTGCGAGCCAGATCACTTTTGCGCCGCATTTTACTATGCACATAATCAAGTATAATTGACAATTCATCCTGAGAAATCAGGTCAATATACTGAAAGTTCGATATAAGCAACCTAATAGCAAAGAAACATTATGTGGCTTGAGTAAAGACCAGCACGCTAAAAGGTCGATTTGGTGGATCAACATGTTGCACCGCAAAATTCCTCCTTGCAATAATTACACGAAAACCGCATATCTTCAACGTATAAAAGTGCCTTGATTTGTATTAATATCAGGTTAAAACATAAAAACAGACTGTCGGTTTTATTTGGTTAAAGTCATGTTTACATTTTTGAGCACTTTATTTTCAAAGATTGACTCCTTGAAACGAAAGGCTCATCATTGAAGATTTTCATTAAAGGCATATACATTGTAATATGATCATTGCTTTTCATGCAGTTTGTTCGTTTCCAATAGTAATTACACCACTCAAAATCAAAAGAACAATGTTCAAAATCTAACCTTTTGAAGTTTCAGCTTAGAGTGGATATTACATGTTTATGGAAAACATTGAGAAAGAAAACCAAGCACAACCTTTCATCAATAGCACTCTTTATTTAAAAAAAAACCAGTCAATTTCCTGCTCGTTGGAAATCACCGACATTTCTTGATTTCTTCGAACCAACAGCAAGCCAGACGGAATATTTCACGGGGTGTTTAGTACCAGTACGATCTTTTATCCAAGTAGACTGTTTGATAATAATTCCGTAGGCTACGTTTGGGATAGATACAAATAATCCTATATGCCTTTAACTTCGATAGTGATAAAGCATATAACCTGAAAAGTCAAACATGAAATGAGAAGATAGAGTGGTTACATCTCTTACCTCACGAAAAAGGCGGCAATCTTCTACCGGTTCAGAGATACCGTGGTGTGCGTGTCTTCAGTAAGGCTGTTCGGCAGTGTTTTCAGTCTCGATTTCTGAACGATGTATATGCCCAGGTAAGCGATAGGTGGAAGTATTTATAGAAAAAAATGGTTGAATCCGTATTGATAGACTATGTATGACAGAGCCTATTACGTACATGGAGTTTATGCAGCATACGCTTGCTATCTTAAAAAAAAAGAGAGAAACAAAAATACTTTTTTGGTCTGAAAGTTTAGTCCAGTGAGCTCGAGAAGCCTATAGGGGCCTGTAATGTATTGTGCATGACCGGAACTATATGTTGGAACTATATCACTTATGCGCGCATTGATAATCAACTCAGTAATGACGTCATGCCATGCGAGCATAATAATTCACCTAATATGGCAGCTCCCAGTTTCATTGTTGACGTTATTTTCCCCAGAATAACCACGTAAATGACAGGGCCTGCCTATGGGTCTTTTTTATGTTTATGTTTTTTCCTTTTTTCAAATCAGACGTGTTTTTTTTAAAGAAGTGTTTTCATATATGAGAAAATAGCAAGGACAAATCGGTATGTGCAGGCAACATTCAGGGAGTTGATTTTTTATTTGATGAAGATTTATTGAAACTTTCACGTTTTGTCTGAATGGTGAGAGTCAATGGGATAGAGTATAGGCAATCTTGCCCGCAATCTTGGGTCTGTTTCTGCTTTTAATCATAATTGTGTTTTTGTAAGTGTTTAGTAGAGAAGAACCCCCCCCCCCAAAAAAAAAAGCATGTGCAGGCAACATTCGGGAAGTAATCCCTTGATAATAATTTGTTGGAAAATTCCAACATTTGCAGCCGTGTATTATAATTTATTTAGAGGAAATATGAAATTAAACGAATACAGACTGCCTTGACACGGGGTACAGCAAATTGTAATCCAGCGAGCGTCCCATTTTCCTCATGGAAATCGTCATAACATCAGAGAAAGGCTAGTTTATTTTTGTTTCTAAATCACTTTTCTTCCGGTGTTATCCAACGAGCAATGAGAAACGAATTTTACTAAAGGGAATGATCGTGTGGGAGAGCAGTTTTATGTCGAATGCCTTGGGCGTTGCCAAGATTTCTTCTAGAGGGGGTAATGCACATTTCGCCCCCCCCCCTCCTCCCCCCAAACACCCCCCCCCCCCCAAAAAAAAAACCCCAAAAAACAAACAAATACCTGTACTTTTGCCAGCATATTCTCATTTTATCTTGTTTTTTGAGGGTGGGCATGGGGGCATTAACCCACCACTTTTTTAGATGATAAAAAGTAGTAATTAAGTAGTAAAGTCTGTCAGGAGCAAATGTGGCCCATTGGGTCATGGACAGCGCCGGCATTTATCTCCGGTTTCAGAGAATATTTCTTTTCCCCCGGATGGGATGCTAGTCCATCGCAGCTAATGCCGGCACCCATTGATAGTCCTTGGTGGAGAGAGGCAAGTGTGGATGACACAACATAATGGCCAGCAGGACACAACATAATGGCCAGCAGCTGAATTCGAACTCCTGACCCTCTGATCATGAATCACAAACCCTAACCACGCTACGGCCCAAAAAAAGGAGTTTGATCACTGCTTGCTCAATTTTAAGTTGGTTGCTGCCTCGGCAAATAATATGGAAGACATAATCTAACTTTTGAAGCGCATTTCTGGTGCTGCACATGGCTACCCGAAAACAAAAAAAGTCAAACTTCCATATGGAGATTGACGGAGCCTCTAAAGTCCTTGGAGTTATTGTAACACATGCCTGTCATCTAAAAATACATGTACACGTTTTATGGCTGTTTTGTCTTTGCACAGACGCAATAAAATTATATTCTGAATTATCGAAAGAATGGTTCGTGGCTAGACTGTACGAATCATTAATTTTCTGCATAAGCAATACAATATGCTTATTTTCTAAAAAAAAAAAAATGCATTTTGTGGCTTTTTGGTATTTGCAGGGCATCATAAAAGTTTGCTCTGTTATTTGTTGGTCCCATTTCAATAGTTTATACAATTAGGCAGCTGCTGAACGTCGGAGGGAATTGCAACCGCCCCCTCCGTACTGTAGAAGGAGGCTCGTTAGAAATGAGAGGGTGAAATTATTGTCCATTTGTCTTTGATTAAAACAGTTGTTCTTCCTCGTTTCTACTCATGAATATTAATTTGTGAAGACATTTTTTTTTTAAAGCCAGCCACCCAGTCAAAATATGAGAAGCAGAAAAAAGCTGCCTAATATAGGAGACGTGATCCACTTTTTTTTGGTTCACATTATGACTACTCAAAAACAGAAACAGTGTCAGTAGACTTCAATTTGGAATTTGACGGAGCCTCTATGTCCCGAATCCACACTTTTAACAAAAGTGTGACTTCATAGCAATGGTTTAATTCAAAGTGAGCAACTGCATGGGCTGGCTTTCAATTTCCATTTTTGTTGCATTGTTGTTGCATTCAAAAGTCTTTATTACGAATGACAAAGGTTACAGTACAGAGGAGCCAGTTGATTGACACAAATTTATTGATCACGCCCCTTCGTTTCAGCGAGGAATATGATTGGACAGGACAACCGTCATGACGAGCTGTCATGAGGAACCGTCATGACTAACCGTCCAAAACGAAAGAACGTTATCAAGTCCGAATTTCAGCCCAGGAAATTAATTCTGGTTAAAGTAGGAGCATATTGAAACTACACTTTCAAACTCGAAAACTTTAGTACACGAGAACAAAGAAATGACCCCACAAGGATACAAATTCCCTTTGTATGTTGGTTACTTCGTCAGCGTGTTTAGGCATATAGCTTCTTTAATAGTTCTTAAAATTAATGTGGCCTGACGTTGCGAGCTTAGCAAGTTCTTCTTCAGAGGCTAAAACAGAAATGACAGAGGTACATGTACATACATACATTAACATGGGGGTGCACACAAACAAACGTTATTGCGCTCTCTGTTCTTGCGCTGAACCATTATTGATATACTTCTGTCAATACATTTGTGCTGAGTAATAAACTTGGGGATCGTCGAAGTAGGCCTCATGGTATTTTTTTAAAGTGCGCCAATACACTCTTTGAACTTCATGATGATAATGCCGTGAAACACGAGTGTCTTTATTGAAATGGCCTGATTTGCGTCTTTTCTAAATTACATGTACGGGTTTTTAGGGTCACTTTTCCTGTTGGAAATCAACCACTTCGTGGGTGCGTTCGAGTAACGTCCTCGATGAGTGAACACGGGTACATGCAGACGTGCTAGCTTTGGGGATCATTGAAGAAGGCCTAAATGTATTTTTTTTTGAAAATGCCTTGCATCAGCCGAAACTTTACACTCGTTGAACTTCATCATAGTCACGTGAAAAACCAGTTTTGATATTGAAGTCACCTGATGTGTGTCCTATCTAAACTTGTGGAGAGTCACTTGACCTGTGATAAAACAACAGCTGCACGTGTGCTTTCGAGTAACTTCTTCGATGACTGTACGCGGGAAAGGCAGACGGGTTAGCCACGCGAGTCAGGCTTAGCGAACGTTCGCCTGTACAATGGAATATAATGCAAGGCGGTCGATAGGCTTTAATTTATCTAAGGGCCCATTGGACGTTATTTGGACTCCGCTTGCGCACGACGCACAGGACGGTTGGCATATCGCCATGGAATTTCGGAGACGGTCATGGCGTGAGCCATGGTAGTAGTAGTAGTGACATTTATTTCAATGATGTCATTCATTACAATTAAACATGTATAAATTAGAAAAAGGCAGTAGTATAATATTTGATAGTAATGTACACAGTGATTCTAAAATGTGAAATTAAATGACAACATTTAGGTATAAGGTTAAGCAGAACGCTTTTGTGCCCTTACCTATGGACAACATACGACCGAGGGACAAACAAAACAATACGTGAGACAGACAGGACAAGTGCGAGACAAGGCCTAAATATTGATACACAAAATAATGGAATTTCAATTGATGAATATGATTCGAGAAAATGAGTTTTTAAATTGTTGACAAAGACAGATAGTGAAGGTAACAATTTAAGAGAATCATCTAAACTATTCCAGTACAAAGTGCCTCGCTGAATAACACTATTTTTTGACATTGCCGTTCTGTTAAATCGGACGAACAAATTTCCCCTAGCCCTACTTCGAGTGTTATATACATGAATGTTAGATGCTAAGGTTAAACAAGAATTAAAACATGACGGAAGTAAATTATGCATACATTTATACATTAGTTTTCCTAAATTAAGGTTATATAAGTCATTACATTGTAATATATTTAATTGAGCAAATAATGGAGCAGAATGATCACGATAGCCAGCACTCGAAATTACACCAACTACTCGTTTTTGTAAAGTAAGTAATTTGTTTCATTTAGATGGCAAACTACCCCAGGTCAAGATTGAGTAATTTAAGTATGGTAAAACAAAAGAATTATTCAATGTTAATAAAATCTTTCTCGGAAGGTAATATTTCAAACGATTCATTATTTCAATGTTTGTTGAAATTTTTGTCGCTACTTCATCAATATGATCCCGAAATAATGGGTTAGCCACAGGAATAATGCCACATTTCTTTACTGCAGCGGATCCAGGGGGCCCAGGGAGGGGCAGGGAGACAACAACCCCCCCCCCCCCCCCAAAAAAAAAAAAAAAAAGAGAGAGAGAGAGAGAGAGAGAGAGAGAGAGGGGGGGGGGGAGAGAATAAAATAAAAAGGAAAATCTGATTTGTCTTTTTTATAGGATTCAAAGGGCCCAGGGCCCATGAAATGAATTATGCAACTGTCGACTCCTCCTAAATGTATGAAAACATTTTGGCAGCCATTTTTTGGTTAATTCCATTAGAAAGTGTTCGTCTTTAAATATTTAACATTTCCCATGCTTTTCCCAACAACTGAGGGCGCTTTGCTGTGAAGTCATTTCAGGAAGACACTGTTGAGTTGACAGATTTTCTGTTCAAATTGCGAACCCACAATTTGCTTACTGAAAATATTCTGTGAGAAAAGTGCTTATTGAAGGTACTGCTGCGCTATGTGTACAGACAAGAAACACCAAAGAAAAGAAAATTTACCACAGCGAAAAATCCAAATTCAGGCAACTTTTTTGTGCAGAAATAGCTGCAACATTGCGGTTTCCGCCTGAAATAACATCACACATTTTGCTCATGAATATGAAAATTTGCATTAACATAAAAAACAAAAAGGCACTAAAATTCCCTTGAAAATAAATGAAATTGAAAATTACATTGCATGGGCCCCTTAAAGTGAAGACCATCGTTTAAAACCCACGCTGTCGTCTGCTCACTGCCTTTCCTTCGACGAATTTGGTAAATATTACTAAAAAAAATAAAGGTAAGGGGAAAAAATGTCAAATAAGGTCGAGTTCCGATCTCCTAACTACAAGTCGATCGGTCATTCCTCCCCTAAATGTTCTAGATTCGGCGGCGGGTGCATTTTAACACGGGGTTGCATAACCCAGGGTCGACCCCGTTGAGCTATTCAAACACACGCCACGAAACGCGACTGTCGTGCCTATTAGCAGAGTCCGACTTCAAGTGGTCTAGGTACACAAAGAAGAACCAGTATAAAAGATGGTTATATGACTCCATGATAGCGTTATTGATTTGTAGGCTTATCCCGCCTAATACTTGTCCCTGTAACACTAATGCTCTATCATTTAGAAGGCAGTTGTGTACATGTACATTGCATAGTACCATATTTTAAGCGCTTTTCACTATAACACCAACGATCTAACATTTAGAAGGCATTGTGTACATTGCATAGTACCAGTACCATCTTTTAAGCGCTTTTCCCTGTAACACTAACGCTCTATCATTTAGAAGGCAGTTGTACATTGCATAGTATTATAGTTTAGGTGGTAACGATTGTTGTGTTTGTAACTTGCTTTAATCTTGTTTACATGTACCAGTTAAGCTCTCATGAGGGCGCTGTTCATACCCACTGTGACCTTGCCGCTTCTGGCATCCATGTTGGTTTTCGCCATGATTACAATATGAAGTAACACGACAGTTTAAGCTCGTGTCTTGTGTCAATTTATTTCACAAACCTAACATAATTTGGCGACGAGGATGAATCAGATTAACCTCCCAAAAGCAAATCGCTCCGTCGGTTCAGTCCCAGCACCTATACCAACTTAATGACGGCACCCGTTGGAATACACGCCGACTTATTCCAACCCCTTCACCTACAGCCACACAGATCTTCCATTCTGCTTCCCAATGGAAAACGCAACCCCTGCAACAGCTCAAGCTCCACTACGCCGATCTCAGTGCACCTGCACTGAGCCTCATCACCTAAAGGACCTCGACTGTTCATGAAATGGGATTTTCCAAAGGGGGGAAAATATGTTGTGTTTGTAACTTGCTTTAATTTTGTTTACATGTACCAGTTAAGCTCTCATGAGGGCGCTGTTCTTACCCACTGTAACCTTGCCGCTTCTGGCATCCATGTTGGTTTTCGGATTACAATATGAAGTAACACGACAGTTTAAGCTCGTGTCTTGTGTCTATTTATTTCACAAACCTAACAACGATGGACGTCAAACCGGTGTTGTTTCTGCTGCTGGTTGCAGTAGCATTGAGCCAGGCCCAGAAGAAATGTTGTTTCCCAGACCAATATGAAGCAATGGACGGTGAGTTTGGAACACTTGAACCGCGTTCAGTTTCTCAGATCAAATAAACCTGTTAACATGTAATCAGTTTTGGACTGTCTTTCTTTCGCAGAAAAATTGCTCAAAATCTTCCCCTTGAAAATAAATGAAATTGAAAATTACATTGCATGGACCCCTTAAAGTGAAGACCTCCGTTTGAAATCCACGCTGTCGTCTGCTTACTGCCTTTCCTTCGACGAATTTGGTAAATATTACTTTTAAAAAAGGTAAGGGGAAAAGAATGTCAAATAAGGTCGAGTTCCCATCTCCTAAGTACAAGCTGATCGGTCATTCCTCCCCTTTATGTTCTAGATTCGGCGGTGCATTTTAACACGGGGTTGCATAACCCAGGGTCGACCCCGTTGAGCTATTCAAACACACGCCACGAAACGCGACTGTCGTGCCTATTAGCATAGTCAAAGTCCTACTTCAAGTGGTCTGTTTACACAAAGAAGTATAAAAAGAAGGTTACGTGACTCCATGATAGCGTTGTTGATTTGTAGGCTTATCCCGCCCAATACTTCGCTTGTCCGTGACACTAACGCTCTAACATTTAGAAGGCAGTTGTATATTGCATAGTACCATATTTTAGGCGGTAAAGATGGACGTCAAATCGGTATTGTTTCTGCTGCTGGTTGCAGTAGCATTGAGCCAGGCCCAGAAGAAATGTTGTTTCCCAGACCAATATGAATCAATGGACGGTGAGTTTGGACACTTGAACCGCGTTCAGTTTCTGATCAAATAATCTGTATACATGTAATCAGTTTTGGACTGTAACACTTTCATTCGCAGAAAAATTGCTCAAAATCTTCAGGAGGGTTCACATAAACTAACCTTTTAAACTTTTAGCTCAGTGCACTATACATTTTGAAAAAACAAACAAACAAACAAACAAACAAACAAACAAACAAACACCCCAACAAACAAACAAACACCACAATAAACGTATGTACAATTTTTGGGTTATCGTTACTGGCACCCTAATTTTGATATCACCTTCAATGTTACCTTTCTTCCCAACGATATTATACTTTTGTCAATCCTGGCCAGCTTGGATTGGATTGTTTCTGTTTAGTATTTGTTTACTTTTGTGGATTGCTTGTTGTATCATGTTATTTGGCCGAATAAATTACAATAGTAACAATAATAATTACATGGTATTTTACACCATCTTCAATTTGAGCTAGCAAGATTTCCTGCCATTAATTCTTAATATATATCGCCTTTCCGTGTAATTGCAAACGATCCCAGGTAGCTTTTAAATTAGGCAACTGCACCGGATGAGGCTGTTTTTGACCTGGACACATTTCTTGAAATAAATGTAGCTTTCCCTTTTGGGATTGGATTTACAGGTCTAATTACCGCCACGGTTCAGTCTGGGCAAGGTATGGCTCAGACGTTGGGGGTACAGTTTGCCTTCGATTACACCAACAGACGTGTGGGCGAATTTTTTCAACTGTCCGGCAGTATGTATCAGTATGTCTTAGACTACAACAAGGTAAGCCCGACACTTTTTCATGGACATCGGGCAAGTTCCTGGTGATATCATCTCATATGTCATGTTGGGATTAGTCATTTTGGGGAATCAGTTTAATAGGCAGCGGATAATATTAGTTAAACCAGTGGGATTCACAATCCAACCATGCAACTGAAGTATCCTCTCCTTTTCTTCTCCAAAATGAACAGGGCATCATGTACGTCATCAATCTCACTATGAAGAGTTGCCAGAAAAGTCCACTACCGATAAAGCAAATGCAGCACTGTGTTCCAAGTAAGTGCACACCTAGGGATGTTGGGTGTTAAATGGTTAAATCGTTGACAAGTTTCTCATTTAAGTTTCATACTTACGGTTTAACAACTGTTCTGTTTAAAGTTCTGTAACATACTAGATACTTAAACTTAACAAGAAAATTCAACTCGCCTGGCAAAATAGCAACGTGAAGCAATGATATACAAATCTAAATATCCATGATATTTGTGAGCAGTACTATCAAACCTTAATAAAGCAGGCATGCTAAAAATCCGTTTGGGTTATGTCAGTAAAAAACACTTTGCTACAAAATCTGTTAACGACGTCATACAAGTGACCACATCAGAATACAGCTTGCCCGCGATGTCACAACGAGCTTGTTTCGAGCAGAAGTCTTTAGAATTATACGAAATTTTGTTTTGTTTGAAATACATACTCCTGCTCTTGTAAAGTTTCTTCTGTTTTCAAATTTAGAACATGTATTTAATGTATAAATTGTTCCAAGAACGTTGCTTTCTGATGTTGAACCTTTTTTAACAGTTCCTAAATGTATTATCAAAAGTTTAGATTTAGTATTAAGTGCTAGAACAAATTGCATGAACATTTTATATACATGTAACTATTCATTTAATTCAAGTTTGAAGTCAGTGTAATTTAACCAATCTAAGACTAAAACAGGGAGTTTTAGGCCTACATTGCACTCAGTCCTCTGCCCTCTGCCCAGTCTCTCAGTCCTCTGGCAGTACCATTTAGGGACGGGTTCCTGTACCCTACAGTCTGTTGCAAGCAGTGGATGATTGACAACTCCATGCAATGAGAGTAGTAGACACGATTTTTTTTTGTTTATGTTTGGCCGAGCGTACCCAACCACGCTACTGTGTATGGTTGATTTTTGTTTTTTTGTGACCCGATAAAAGTGTGGGGAGGGGGGGCATGCCCCCCAGTGGAAAGAGTGTGGGGGCAGTGGCCCCCCCCCCCCTGCCCCCCTCCCTGTTCCGCCGCCGGTGTACTCGATCATAAGTACTCAAAAAAACAAAACCAAGTACTCGGCACGTACTCGTAATTTTGTACTCGGACTCGTCCGTTAACTCGACAAATTGTACTCGGTTAACTCGATCCCTGTCGCGCAGTACTCGAAAGAAAATTAGGACTTTTTCGATACTAATTTGTCGATACTAAGCTTTGACCTAAAATTTCACAGAGTGTTTGTGAAAATGATGAAAGTATTGCGCTGTGTTCTTTATCGACTCAAAATAGAGTATTCGTGAATGGGTATTGGAATTATAAGCGCTCGCATTATCGCTGGTGCACAAATTTTTTTTACTGTCTTATTCCTACTGAATACTACAAGAATACCAGCGAATTAAATCGCAACCTTTTCTCCATGGGCTGCATGTGCGTTCATCACACGAGGCATTTTCTAACTAACAAGGCGCGGAGAGATCGTATCCGTGGGGAAAAGGTTGTGCACTTCACTCTTTGTTGGAAACGCGTCACATTCTCTGGCGCATGGCGATGAGTTCAATCCAGACGTAGACATGTCTTCTTGGTCAGAAATTATATCTTGGGGGTTTAGAGATCACAAGGAATATTTCGCTAACGGACAGAAGCAGCACAGCGCAGTATGCAAGTCATGTGGGCTGCGGATTTTTAATATGTGTACGTGTTAATTTCTGGGAACACTGGGTAATTATTTTACATATTACATGTAAAGTAACGGTGCTAATTTCCATAATTCTTAAGTTTGAAAATGTAATCAGGATGTACTTGATATCTTTGTACTCGTACTCGGCCCGTACTCGGACTCTGAAAAACTCAAACTCGGATTTTTGGCACAGGACTTGACTAAAAGTACTCGGACTCGGCCTTTACTCGGCACTGTGTGTACTCGGAATACTTGGTACTCCAGTTTTGCTACTCGACTATGGGATGCATCATTACGGCGCCCTGGACAGAGCCATTAAGACCATTGAGACCCTTAGGTACCCATCTGGCGACCCGTGTAGTTTTCACTGCGACTTGGTAGTTGTTGTTGCGTACCAGCCATTTTACAAGGACGCAGTGAGAGCGCATATATATATTATGATCGCAGACAATCTGACAGGGCCTTTATAAACCTCTTTATGTTCCTACAGGTAACGCCACTTACGGAGGTTCTTTCTATGCTGGGGATCACAAGTTGACTGCAGACACTTTTAGCTACCCCGTTAACGAAGGACAGGTTGCTGGCAATGTGACCCTGTCTGTCACCAAGGATAACTGCATTCCATTCAGTCTATCGTTCATCGGATCGATGGGTGGAAGTATGTCATTCAACGTTCAATAGTCATGGTTTAACCCTTCCAGCAGCTTGCCCAAAAATTTACGTGGTGGAACCACCATGAGAATTTTATCACATCATGTGTTTCTAGGTCAATAACCCTGCCATGCCTGTCCATGCACAACATATAGGTCATTCACATGGCCAGGGATTGTTTACAACCTGTTTGGGCTCCTGGCGGCACGAGGGGTTGACACAAAGGGATCGGCGGCACTTAGGGGTTGGCCACTAAGATCTCCCATTACTGCACAAAGGCATTGGGCGCCATTTTGGCTTCTGTCTTTCAACACTCCTTACTCCGGAGTGGGTAGGGTCTGGCCAATGGGAGTCTACAGGCTTGTGGTGTATAGTAGGGGCGAGGATTACATGGAAGCTTGGTCTTATTGGCCCGTTGAAAAAAATGACAATTTTTCAAAAATAAATTGATGTGGCAGGAACAAATATCAATTGAAATAGAGAAAAATTACGAAGCAAAAATGTGGACAAGATTCAGGCAATTATTTAGTTTCGGAAAAAAAAACCCATACAAATGTGACATAAACTCACCACCACATGTTAATCGGCTCATTCAATCGGATCTTTATTCATATTTGTTTTCTGACCGTGTCTACTGTCAAACATTGAAGAAAATTCGTATTGAATAATTGACTTTCTGCACTTGTCTGTTTCTAGATTCTATGTTAAGCGTATCAGGATACGTCAACTATAGCCCAGGGATCCAGGACCCCTCTAAGTACTTCACTATCCCAAACTATTGCCCAACGGTAAGTTCGCTGTCTTGCCGTTACCGTACCCTCAGCTTTTTATCCCCCTAATTTGCGAGAATTATTATTATTAATATTAAAACATAAATTCCATGTTAAACGTCTCAAAGCGCTGTTCAAGCATTTCAATAAAATACATCCTAAAAATAATCAAGGTAATAAATTACAAAAGATAAGAGATATAAAAGATAAAAACACATTCAATTAAAAAACAAAAAGATTTAAAAAGATGAAATTTAAGACGGGACTTAAAGTTCTGAAAGGTATCCAGAGAACAAAATGTAGCCGGTAGTCTATTACATCCAGATATTTTGTTCCTCAAATTTTGAGGAACAAAATATCGCCACAGTAAGCTGTCTTGCTAATTATAGATTAAGATTAACTGCCCCAGAGACTTTCGAATATACAACATGTCCAGTGGATCGAAAATAGAAAAAGATTATTGATATAATCTGGTGCCACACCCTTAAGACCCTTAAAATGAAATAAAGAATCTGAAACTCAAAATGTTTCTTGTCCAGGAATCCAATGCAAACCTTCTAAACTTTAATTACCACCAAGTTAATGTGTAATGAGAACGGGCATATCCATTTAATATGTTACCGTGTTTCCTCTTGTGTCCGTTGATCTAGTAAACCTCCACGTCAGGTATCGTGGTTTTTTCTCTATTTCCTCAACCGACTTAACATCATTATACAGGGTGTCCCCCCCCCAAAAAAAAGGAAAAGACAAAAAAAGAATGTCCCTCTGGAGGATGTACAGAATTCTCGTAAATCATGAAGCCAATTTCAAATTCAATTATATAGTTGAAGAGTGTTACAACTGATAATGTACTAACCAACGGGTACTGTATCACTAACCGACAATGTAACAGAAATTGAACGATAGTGTAGTAAAAATGTACTACACTATCAGTCGATTTTTGTTACATTATCGGTCCTAACCGATAATGTAACAAAAATTGACTGATAGTGTAGTAACATTTACTACACTATCGGTCAATTTCTGTTACATTATCGGTTAGTGATACAGTATCGGTCAATTTGTGTGACATTATCGGTTTGTGATACATTATCAATTGGTTACTACATTATCAGTTGTAACAGAGCGAGTTTCATCAGCTTTGTGCAAGAGAGCGAGATTTAAACGCCATACGAAAAATACTTAGTTTCAGAATTCGCCACTTTCGACTTGACGTCCTCCAGTGTCGATACAGCGCTGGAGGACGGAGCTGAAGCCATGTTCTAAAGATTGAAGCTTCTGGATGAATGCAGGATCACTCCTGATGTCCTTGCCAATGATCGAGGACAAACGAGGACGATCGAGGAGGTGTGCAATGACATCAGGGTGGTCCTGTATTCCTTCAGACACTTCCAGTCGCAGCACGTGGCTCAAGCCCTGCCTCCAGCGCTGTATCGACATTGGAGAAAGTCTAGTCGAAAAGTGGTTGATTCTTAAAGTGAGAATTCGTATGGCGTTTACATATCACCCTCATGCACAAAACTAATGAAACTTTCTCCATAATTTTGTCATGCCACATTTACGTGTGCCACATTTTTACTTCCATTGGAAGACAACAGAGTTAATAATAGTCCAAAATAGGACAGGTTCTTTTTGGCACGTAGGGTATGTATTGTTAAACTATTAATGGTCTTTTGTGTTACATTAATGATCTTTCAAAACCACTGAACCAAATTCAACAATAACTACACACAAGAAAGACAAACTATTTGGGCTCATCAATAATTGGATTTTGAAATTGTCTTCATGAATTACGAGAATTCCCTGCATCATCCGGAGGGATTTTTTGGGGGTCACCCTGAATAACATCTTCAAAGTATCTAAAATTCTGATTGCCAAACCAATTTCTTTTGCCTTCTCAACAGTTCTTCACTCCGGAACCGAAAGAGGGACATGCTTTCATCATGCCGTTCCTGCTGTGAGTGCGCCCTCAACGGCTATACTTGGACTGAACCAATCTATCGGCCGATCGAATTTAAGTCTAGAATCAATTCGAAATCAGTTGCTAAAGTTTAGTTTGGCTACGCCAGTGAAATACTTCCAACAACTAGGATTCAAATCTGTATTTGGATTTACAATGACTTGTGACTCCTTTTTTCTCGAAATTCTGTCTACACATAAGGTTTCCTTGTTTGCACATCCAATATGGCTTGTTTCAATATTTGCTGCGATTATTGTAGAATTAAAAAAAACCATAAATACAAATATAGGAATTTCGTTGTCCGATCTTGGAGAATTCGTTAATTTATAGAAAATGCCCTCTTGAAGTGGAAAATACAGATGTTACCACCGACTTAAGCTCCTGTTGATAATTGACAAGTTGTCTGCACAGATTATTTCACACTAAGTCATTAGGTCATGACACCAACTATGAAGTCAGGAAAAAAAAAGTGCATTTCAACAAACCTAACTTTAACGTTTGTGAGTGAAATGTTTTTGTTTCAGTCAGCAAAGGCCTAAGGGACACTTGACCAAAAATATTGATTGACTTACATTGTTTACATTATTTAAAGATGATGCAAAAATCAAGACAAAAGTTGCAACAACTGAGCAGAAGATGTTAAATGGTAGAAAACCTGACGTAAAACTGCAGATAATGCACATGGGAACAAGACACCTAGTTTCAAAATGGAGTTGATTATTCTGAATGACTGCTTTATTTCAATAATGTTGAAATATTTTTTTTCTAATCGTGGCATAATGCAATACGTAGCTTACACAATGTGTACTTAGAATACGGGTTTTAATTGAGATTAAATAAAATAGTATTTGCAACTTGGTTTTGACATCGGATGTGTTGAGCGCGTTCGTTGTAACCACCAACCTGCACGGTGCAGCCCATTAAAAGCATGTAATGGTGATATGCGATAACGTCGTACCAAGCTGCTGACCTTTCATGGATATCGGAAACGAAAATGTCGTCTAGACTACATATTCGTGAACAAGAAATGGACGCGTCTGATACGCAAAGTGCAACATATCAAGCCACACTGCGTTTGCTCTGACCACACACTTCTAACATGCACACTCAGCATGCAACTTTGGAGATATCAGCTACACTGTTGACTTTAGGCATTTGTCATCAAACCGGAAGTTGGATGAAATCTATGCATATACAAACATGCGTCCATGTAATGTTTGTGTTTTGTGAAGTTGTTTTCACTGTGTCTTGCATATGCATGCCGAGTGAACTAAATCACCATTATTTCGCACGCTTCTTTTGGCTGATAACGTTATCAAACCGCAAGTAACATGCTAATTAAATGTATAATGAAATCTTTCAAACTCAAAAGCAACATTTAAAAAAAAATTGTAAAGTGGAAAAAGGCTTAACTTCATATTTTTTCCTCTTTTTTACATAAAACTATTCTATTCTATTCTAAACTGATCTGCACATATTGTCCAATGAAAAAGTTGCATGCCCGATTACCATGCGATTGTTACATACAAAACCAAAATAATGTAAAACAGCTTTTTTTCTAGGCAATAATTATCTGCAGCTTTTCTTACAAACGGATCAACACAAGAACTTGATCATGTATCAAATTATAAGTGTTTTTAGTTCAAAAAGTGACCGATTTACTTTTTTTACAACATAACTCCTGTACCAAATGAAGCCTCATATGCACAGTTGCAATTGCACCACACAAGTTTTCATATCATATTATTTCATAGCAGAATATTTAAACTTCGAACATTAGCCACTAACCATTATTTTCGTTAGCTCAGAGCGAATTGTATTTATGCCCCTGCAGACAAAACATGTCACAAAACTGCTAATATTAAATAAGCATAATTATGTTGTCTAGACTCCAAGGACGTAAAAGTCTCCGTCAAACTGCATAAGTCTGTCGATACGGATTCTATTTTTGACTAACCATACGTGCATCACCAGAAATGCACTTCAAAAAGATTGTTCATGGGTCATGGGAAAAATATGAAACCCTCTCCGTCGTCATAACGTCATCCGGAATTAAATTATAAGAAATTAGAGATTAAAGTTGGAAACAATAATTGAACACTAACTTTTTCACTGGAGTACTCTGTTATTTTTGGGGAAGGGGATAAAATATTGCCTTGGGAACATTTTTGATTCCCTTCACGAAGCCGTTTGACCTTTACTTCCGGTGTTACCGGAAAGGCAACGAGAAATGAATTTTACTGCAATTATGCTAATTATGTAAATGTTAAATACCGGAATGCCGAACACAAAATGCGGCATGATAAAGTCCTAATCTGAAAGGGCACCCTCTAGCAGCAGGTCAAAGAAAAGCGAGATTTCATTTCGATTGAAAACTATTTGCTAAAATGTTATTGCGCCCTCTGTTCATGCGCGGAACCATTATTGATATACTTCTGTCAATACATTTGTGCTGAGTAATAACATTGGGGATCGTCGAAGTAGGCCTATTAAATGGCATTTATGTTTTAAAGTGCGCCAATACACTCTTTGAACTTCATGATGATAATGCCGTGAAACACGAGTTTCTTTATTGAAATGGCCTGATTTGCGTCTTATCTAAATTACATGTACGGGTTTTTAGGGTCACTTTTCCTGTTGGAAATCAACCCTTCGTGGGTGCGTTCGAGTAACGTCCTCGATGAGTGAACACGGGTACATGCAGACGGGTTAGCTTTGGGGATCGTTGAAGAAGGCCTAAATGTATATTTTTTTTTTTGAAAATGCCTTGCATCAGCCGAAACTTTACACTCGTTGAACTTCATCATAGTCACGTGAAAGTTTTGATATTGAAGTCACCTGATGTGTGTCTTATCTAAACTTGTGGAGAGTCACTTGACCTGTGATAAAACAACAGCTGCACGGGTTCGTTCGAGTAACTTCCTCGATGACTGTACACGGGAAAGGCAGACGGGTTAGCCACGCGAGTCAGGCTAAGCGAACCTTCGCCTGTGCAATGGACCTATAATGCAAGGGGGTCGATGGGCTTTAATTTATCCGTGCGCTCATTGGACGATTTGTGGACTCCGCTTGCGCACGACAGGACGGTTGGCATGGAATTTCACAGACGATCTAAGCGTGAGCCACCGGAATAATGGGTGAGCCACTGGAATAATGCCACATTTCTTTACTGTAACGGATCCAGGGGGCCCAGGGAGGGGCAGGAAGACCAAGAACCCCCCCCCCCATAACAAAAGAGAAAATAAAATAAAAAGAAAACAAAATGGAAAAGAGAATTCTTATTTGTTTGTCTTATATGATTTAAAGGGCCCATGAAATGAATTGTGCAGCTGTCTACTCCTCGTAAATGTATGAAAACATTTTGGCAGCCGTTTTTTGGTTAATTCTATTGAAAAGTGCACGTCTAAACATTTAACACATGCTTTTTAATTCCGGACAACTAAGGGCGCTTTGCTGTGATGTCATTTCAGGAAGACACTGTTCAGTTGACAGATTTTCTGTTCAAATTGCGAACCCAAACTTTGCTTATTGAAAATATTTTTTGAGAAAAGTACTCATTGAAATTACTGCTGTGTAACAACGAAACACCAGAGAAAAGAAAATTAACCACGGCGAAATATCCAAAATTCAGGTAACTTTTTGTGCAGAAAAAGCTGCAACATTGCGGTTTCCGCCTGAAATGACATCACCCATTTTGTTCATGAAAATTTGCATTATCATAAAAAAACAAAAAGGCACCAAAATTCCCTTGAAAATATATGAAATTGAAAATTACATTGCATGGGCCCTTTAAAGTGAAAACCACCGTTTGAAATCCACGCTGTCGTCTGCTCACTGCCTTTCCTTCCACAAATTTGTTAAATATTACTGAAAAAAAAGGAAGGGGAAAATAATGTCAAATAAGGTTGAGTTCCCATCTCCTAACTACAAGCCGGTCGGTCAATCCTCCCCGAAATGTTCTAGATTCGGCGGTGCATTTTAATACGGGGTTGCATAACCCAGGGTCGACCCCGTTGAGCTATTCAAACACACGCCACGAAACGCGACTGTCGTGCCTATTAGCATAGTCAAAGTCCTACTTCAAGTGGTCTGTGTACACAGAGAAGTATAAAAAGAAGGTTACGTGATAGCGTTATTGATTTGTAGGCTTATCCCGCCCAATACTTCGCTCGTCCCTGTAACACTAACGCTCTAACATTTAGAAGGCAGTTGTACATTGCATAGTACCATATTTTAGGCGGTAAAGATGGACGTCAAATCGGTATTGTTTCTGCTGCTGGTTGCAGTAGCATTGAGCCAGGCCCAGAAGAAATGTTGTTTCCCAGACCAATATGAATCAATGGACGGTGAGTTTGGACACTTGATCCGCGTTCACAAAACTGCAATAATAGTCAGGTTAGAAACAATTTTGCAAAGGCAGGAGACGGACTTTTCTAAAGGGAAAAGGAGCTGACCTATTAGAATCGGGCAAAGCTTCAATTGACACATGGTGCACGGTAAACACGTATTACACGCACATCTGATGGATATGTGCAATCGTGATTGTATGGGATTTGTATTAAGTTGTGGGAAAAGGATTAAAACAATCGTGGTTGTGCGCCACCGTCTCGCATGCCTCCTACATCGGAATTGGTCTTCCAAGAAAGATCAGCACACCGGATATAATAACTGACACGGTTACACCTGTCTCCATATTTCGAGGGCTATATGAAGGATATAGCATGGTGAACGTTCCGGGTTATCTCCCATTGCCGTCATCAGTTGAACCACGGAGCAGGTTTATATTTCCCGTCTTTATGAAGGAAGAACTGGTATGAAATAGCGAAAGGACAGAAAAGATGAGGAATTCTTAATAACTCTATTAAACCCGGCTTTACCAATCTCTATTCGGGAGTTTCAAGCAGCTAGTTAAAAAAAATTACAATTTTTTTTTTCATTTTCAAACTACCCTATTCTCAGACTCATGATAATCAGTAGCGCTTGCAGATGACATTTTTGGTGTGTATGCAGCGAAGCCGCTATTCCTCTACTTCCGGGGTTACCGGAAAGTCAAAGTTGGGCTAATTTAAAATTCCTAATGAGACATCAATATTAAAACAAACACTTTTTTCAAAACGGTTCAAGGGATGAAGATGAACCCTTCTACAAACATGAAATTTTGTCCAAGCATTTGTTTTTTTTTCACGATGTGTGCTAATGACGCGAAGAACTCAGTGCAGCGGATGTGGAATGCCGCTGTACCGAACACCGCTATACCGAACGTTCGGCCAAACCGAACATCATCCCGGCTCCCGCTTCATGTACAAAACGTACTGAATACTTATTGACTATAATCAACAGATTAACCAAAAAAAACTACTGGTTATGTTAAACGCAATTTGGGCCATATTTAATTCCCGAACGTCAAACAACCCATCGTTACGTCGTGTTTGAATGTTGAAGAGTGATAAGTGGTAAATTATTTTCCACTTAATGAACAGAATTAAGGGAAAAGTCACCCGTTACTGAAATTTCATGACGACGCTGCGTGCGGCCGCGGGATGTGAGAAATGCCAGTTCACTATTGGTCAAAAGAGGGCGCCGCTGATGTGTGTAAACCATCGTAGTAGGTGTTCTTCCTCCATTCCTCTCCTTTTTTTCTCCTTGATGTTTTTATTCATTGTGTCGATTTTATTACGTTCCGGTCCATTCATAATGTTACTTTACACACTTTACAACCACAATTTTCATAATAAAGCTCTATAAATAAACTACTTTATAAACTTTGCAACAATTTATTACTTAAAACAAAATTAAGAAGTACATTTTTAAGAAACATCATTTTGCACTTCGAAACGGCAAAAAGGGGAAATGAATATACACTTA